TTCATCCTTATTAAAAACTTTTTTTCTTTCTCTATATTTACAAATCATTAAATAACAATAAGGTTGAAAAATAATTGTTAAACATCTTATAAATAACTTATACTACTCTCGTTCTTAATATAAATCACTTGTAACGAATTCTTGTATATCAATAAATACATTAAATTTGACATTTTTTGTAAATTTCACTCTTATTAAAAAAATTTCTCTTTATATTTATAAATCCCTTTTGTATCTCTCCCTTCTTTCTCTATTTTCAACATTAGAAAGCAAACATTTACGAGGTGTTTGGCGACATAATGAAACCATGGTTTGGATTCCAAATTTGCCAAACAGTGAGGAAAATTAACAAACCGCAATTTTGGGCTAAAACTATAATTTCATAAGAAGTGAATCTATTCTATTTCTAGCTTAAATTAGAAAGTATGATTATGCCTGTCAAAGTAGATCTCAACGATAATATGATTTTAACACTTATCAATTATTTTTTTTATAAACATATTTAATCTCATATTTTATAAATATATACACATATTAATTATTTATTAATTCTATTATCTTATATATTATTAATTATGTTGGTAAAAAATATATTGTTAATAATTTTATTCCTTCAAATTAAAATACATTATAAAATCTATCTTTTATGTAAATATCATACTAACTTATACTACCTCTGGTCATTAATATAATATTATATTTGACTTTTACGTTGGTCTTAAATATAAGATCTCAATCCATTTTGTCTCTCATATTTACTCAATTTTTTCTAAAATAGTCCTTCTAATAATTATAGTTTTAACCAACATACTTGATTAGTAAGGATATTTTAGGAAAGACAACATCTATTTATTACAAATAACTAACTTAACTTTTTTTCTTAATTTTCTCAAATTAGTCAATTGACTCTTATAGTTAGGACTGGAGGTAGTACCTTTTTTAGTATTTGCAAGTATAAAAAGTACTTCTGATAACAATAATTCAAATATTCTCACTTTATCAAAATTATTTTTTCACAAAATTTATTCTTTCAATAATTTATTCTTCCGAAGCTATTTTTCAAACCATATTTTAGTTTCATCCAAATATCTCCTTAAATATTTTGGGGGCAGAGTGGCATGAAGGACCAAAAATTGGTACGGACTATGGAAGGAAGCCTTCAACGAGTGGATAGATATCCGAGCGAAAGACGCCCACCAGTGAGGTGCCGTTCGGTACGGTGGAATTGGGGGATGGAAATGGAAATGAATCCAGGTCTGTTGTATGTTTGGTACACCAAAGCTCCGTGGAATTGGCTTCCATCCTACAACCCCAAGATTTGCATTTCCATGTTCGAAAGTTTATTTTTGCCCTCCCACACCCACCACCACCGATAAGCTTCATACACATCGCTAGCACACTTCACATCCTACCTCCGGCAATCAACCCAGTGAATGGCGACTCTGATGACCAACGACGGCGACTCCGGTGACCAAGGCTGTGTCGAGCTTCTCACTCTCCTCTAACATCATCTTCTTCTCCACTCCGCAGATCGATGGCGACCATACTACCTGGAGGAAGAGACAAGTAGATCAACGGCGGCAGCAAAATATTGCTTAGAAGGGGTAGATCTCCAGTTCATGGCAACCAATTGCCGTGCTAGATCTTCGACGGTCGATGACCCATCGTCATGCTACATCTCTGATCTCCTCTTATGGTTCATCATCTTATTTTATACCCACAAACTCTTCCTCCATTTGATATTCCTTTGCTTCTTCCATCACGCATCATCTTGCTTTTTGGTCTCTCGGGTCAACAAAGGTCTTGGTGTAGGAGAGAAACTGCTATGAGTATGAGAATAGGACAAAGATGGCTTTGTCACTTTCTCTAAAGGTTTTTTTATTTCTTAATACAGAAGGATATTCTGGTCTTTTCATATAAAAAGTGGGTCTCATTATAACAACCAAATTATGATTTTAAAAGTGATTTTACGGTCTCCGGTAAAAAAAAAAAGTGATTTTACGGTCTACGAATTAAATATGTGAAGGAGTTTATCTCGATTTGTAAAAAAATACTTTTTAAAAACATTTCTGGGTGTTTCCAAACACCTCTTACATACCAAACACACTTTTAAAACCCGTCTGCATCTCCATATCCATATCCATCTCCATCAAAATCGATTCCAATGTACTAAACTGGCCCTCACAAAAAGCTTATGATGCGCTTTTTTTTTAACCCTGAGAGGTAATTCATAAATAGAAACAGAATAATATTTATCTTATTTTATACTACCTCCTATTCTTAACATAAAAACTAATTTAATACTACTTTCGATCTTTAATATAAGATTTTCTTTGATTTTTATTTGATTTTAAATATAAGATTTCTATTTATTTTGTCCCTAATATTTATGTATTTTTTTTAAGATAGTCTTTTTAACAATGATAGTTCTAACTAATAGACTTGATTAATAAGGATATTTCAGGAAAAATAATACCTATTTATTACAAATAACTAACTTAACTACTTTTTTTATTCTCTTCAAATTAGTTAACTAGCTCTTATAATTAAAATCGGAGATAGTATTTAATTTGGTCATAAATATAATAATCTAGTTTATTCTGTCTCTTATATTTATTTATTTTTTCTCAAGTAGTTAGTGTAATAGTTACATATGTTAAAAGTTTTATTAAATAATTATTCTAGATAATATACATGGTTAACAAGGTATTTTAAAGAAAACAATACTTATTTATTATAAATAATTAATTTAACTAATTTTCTTAATCTATTCATATTAATTAGCCAGTTCTTATATTAAAAACGTAATAGTATAATATAAAATCTTTTAAAATAAACTAAATCAAATACAAAAGTTGAAAATTAGTAAGTGCTCTCTTCTCACAAGTGAGCCCTGCCAGCTGCCAAGCGCCATTGTGCCAACTCCGCGATCCCCATTTTCCGCAAAACGTAGGGGCCATTTTGTTATTTCAACCACTCTCTCCGCTTCCTCACGGGGTTAATAGCACTAATTTATCCGGTTATCATCCCACCTTTTAACATTTGTAAAATTAATTTTAATTATAACAATTATTTAAGACATTAGGCTTAACATTACACAAATTATCATTATTATGGTGCAAACAGTTAACATATAAATAGTACTCCTCTGGTCCTTAATATAGGACCTAATTGTTGAGTTGGTTTTGGCCCTAAATATAAGACCCATTTCTCATATTTATCAATTTTATCTAAATTACCCCTATAGATACTCCATCAACCATAATCAAGTAAAAGAGGAAAATAGGGTATTAAGAAAGATGATTATGGTATTTTAGGAAAAACGTGTCACATTTCTTATAATTAACTAATTTACCTAACTTCCTTAATCTAATCAAATTAGTTAAATGGATCTTATATTAAGGACCAGAGGAGTATATGCTACTAACTCTAATCCTTGATACTATCTCCGATTCTAATTATAAGATCTTATTTGTAGACTAATTTGAATAGATTAAGAAAATTCACGAAATTAGTTATTTGTAATAAATAGGTAATATTTTCCTTAGAATACTATAGCCAATTATGTATATTAGTTAGAACTACTATTTGATGAAATATTTAACATATGTAACTATTATAAGGACTATTTTAAAAAAAAGATAAATAAGAAAGACAATGTGAATTTGAGTATTATATTTAGAATCAGATTGAAAGTCAAACTAGTTCTTATATTAAAGACTCAAGATAGTATTTTATATTATTAAGTAGGCTCACCTCACGGCTGATTATTTTATTTAAGTCTTGAAAATTATTGAACTATCCACAAGCAAACAACACAATGTGTTGTGATTTTTTTACTTCATATTTATTCACTGCATGAATATATAAAAGGAAAAGTGTTTGCATTTTTCTTTTAAACTTGGACATACTACCGTGGGATATCTAATTCCAATTCCAATCTAATTTAATAAATAGCGTTTTGGTCTTAAATATAAATTACTTATTGGAAAAGTTTTGATTCTAGATATAAATCACTTATAATATATTTAATGTTTACTTTTTAATCCTATCTCCTATTTAATTTCCATTGAAAAGAGAGAAGGAATGAAGATATATGAGAATTATCTATAAATATATATAGAGAGAAAAATTTTAATAAGGTAAAATTAAAAAATTTTCTCAGATTAATACATTTCTTGATATAAAAAAATATGTTATAAGTGACTTATATTAAGAATTAGAGTGGCATACTAATATGAAGTCATTTAGATCTTTTATTCATTTACCAATTATGATCATTAAAATCACGCATAAAATCCTTGTTATTCTTCAGTCTTTTTTTTTTTGGCAATTCAAATTTCATATTCAAAATTTTCCTCCTCTTTTTACCCTTTATTTCCAATGTAAGAATCAAGTTTCCCATCAATATTAATAATTAATACTATTAACATAAAAACTAATTTAACATTCAACTTGATTCTAAATATAAAACCTAATTTTATTATGTCTATCATATTTATACATTTTTTTAAAAATGGTTCTTACTAATACACATAATACTATTAATATAAAAGATAGTTACACATGTTAAAAATTTCATTAAATGATAATTTTAACTAATACACATGATTAGTAAGAAATTGCAAGCAAGACAATGCTTATTTATTACAAACAACTAATTTAAATAAATTTTTTAATTTATTTAAATTATTCAACTAGTTTTTATGTTAAGTACCAAATTTTGTATTAATTATTAATTATTAACTGATGAAGTCTTGCCCTGATTTTTTTTTTTTGGGGGGTGAAAAAGGGATCGCGTTCGGTAGTTCTGGAAATAAAGTTAACCTTGTGGGAAATTCAAATTTTGTGGCTAAATTCGCGGTTCCCGCCCCACCGAAATTATGGCGCTCATCGGACCTTGAAGACCCGACTCCTAGGGTTTTTAAACTCTTTCCCTCTCTTTGTCTTCCCCTTTGAACTCCCGACAGTTTCCCCTCAAAACCGATCAACTCCTTAGTTTCCTCATCGTTTCTCCCAATTTAATTCACCGATCCTTTGATAAGTGTTAGGGTTGTGATCTCAGAATTTCCACAATGGCTGCTAGTCTCACCGGTGGGGCAATAATGACGATGTGTAGAGACGATTTCTCTTGCGAGGACCTGAAGCCTGTGCTTCAAGTGATTGACTTGAAGCTGGTTCAGTCGCAGCAGCATAACAGCACGGAGAGGTATAGGCTTGTTCTTTCAGATGGTTCCCATTACCAGCAAGGGATGCTTGCTACTCAGAAGAACGAGTTGGTCCATGCTGGACGATTGCAGAAGGGCTCTGTTGTTAAGTTGAATCAGTTTATCTGTAATGTTGTCCAGAGCCGCAAGTAAGTCGCTTTTTTTGGGGCATTTCTAGTCCCTGGTTCTCATTCGTTAGATTTTGTGTCAATGAACCATTTTCATTACTTGCGTTGAAGTTATGATTTTGAATGGCGATTGGTCTTCTTGATTTCTTTTTCGATTGGCATTTATGATGAATCGAGATGAGAGCAAAGTCTCTGGATTGGGGCGTTTTGAATGCTGTCGTCGTTGTTATTGTGAAGGTTCACTAAATGAACATGCAAGGAAGTAATAATTAAGTCTCTGGATTGGTATCATCTGATTGGTGTGTAACTGGTAAATGAGACGATAGTTTTTTAATATTGTTCCTTCTCTGTAGTTTTGTGTACGGATTGGTTCTTCCTGTTGAAAGGGACGAGCTAAATGATTGAATCTGGATGTTCCTCGGGGATATAGGATATGAGCATATATTTCGTCACTAGAATCAAATAGATTTTAGGCCAGCAAGAGTGTTCGTTGTTGAATGATTCATTCTCACTGCATAGACTGGCTGTTTATCTATTCATACAGAGGTTAATCATTAATAGTTTTAGAATTGACAAACTTGGGGAAGCCTAGGTGGGAGTGGGATCAATCAACTCACTTTCAAAATTTTACAGGGGGGTGATTGTATTTTCCCATGGTCTTAACTGAGTATGGCTGTTATTACATCGGAAAAAAATTGTTGGTGAGACTAATTGCTTGGTATTTTTCTATCATGCTGTATTTTCAAAACTTTGAACAGATATGCATTCAGAATATTTCCTATAAATTGAATTCTTTCTTGTCCAGTAGGTGGAGTTTATGCTCCCAGGTAGAATTTTGCACCTTTGTTGTCCATGTTAGGGGGTCATTAGATGATGTGGTTGTCTCATTCACCATAAACAGGATCATCATCATTATCGAGCTGGATATGGTAGTTGACAGATGTGATCTGATTGGAGAACCTGTTGCCGCACCAAGAGCTGTACCTACTTCATCTTCCTCTGATCAGTCTGGAGTTACCACAGGGAACCCCCAGTCTTTAACCAGTAATTCACCTGCAGGTGGCAAGATTGCTCCACCAAATGTGATTGGGCCATCTCTAGATCATTCACAAATGAATCTCACTACCAGTGGTGCAAGATATGGTACTGCAAATGTCCCTCCTCGATTGCCTAAAGTAGAGCCTGGAGCTACCCCTATTTTACCTAATTCAGGGCCACTCAATGGCTCCTACAGTGAACAGAACATGGGATTTCGCAATCCTCGACCAGAAACTCCAAGACCCCCGCAAAATGCATATATTCGTCCACCACAGCCTATGCATAGACAGCCTTCTCCAATTTACAATAACAGGGGACAAATGGCCAGAAATGAAGCTTTACCAAGGATAATTCCAATAGCTGCATTGAGTCCATACCATAGCATGTGGACAATTAAGGCTAGAGTTACAGCAAAGGCAGGCCTCAGGCAGTACAACAATGCCAGAGGTGATGGCAAGGTATTTTCTTTTGATCTTCTTGATTCTGATGGTGGAGAAATTCGTGCAACTTGCTTTAATGCAGTGGCTGAACAGTTCTATCAACAAATTGAAATTGGCAAAGTATATCTCATTTCGAGGGGGAGTATAAAGCCTGCTCAAAAAAATTTTAATCACCTTCCTAATGATCTAGAATTGACCATTGATATTACATCCATCATACAGCCATGCAATGATGACGAGTCAATTCCAATGCGTCTTTTTAATTTTCGTCCTATTAGTGATGTTGAAAGCATGGAAAATTCAAGTGTTGTGGATGTGATTGGTGTGGTTTATTCTGTTAGTCCCACCACTTCAATCATGAGAAAGAATGGCAGTGAAACTCAGAAGAGAGCCCTCCAGTTGAAGGACATGTCTGGTTGTAGTGTTGAGTTAACCCTTTGGGGAGAGTTTTGTAATGCAGAAGGACAACGGTTGCAGAATACTTGTGACTCAGGTGCATTTCCAGTTTTGGCTGTGAAAGCTGTCAGGGTAAATGAATTCAATGGGAAGGCCCTTGGGACCATAGCCAATAGTCAGCTATTTATAGAGCCTGATTTTCCCGAGGCTTACAGGTTGAAAGAATGGTTTGACAAGGAAGGGAGGAATGTTCCAGCTATTTCTATTTCCAGAGAATCATTCAATGCTGGTAAGACTGATATGAGGAAGACTATATCTCAAATCAAAGATGAGAAGTTGGGGACTTCAGAGAAGCCTGATTGGATTAGCATCTGTGCAAGCATTTCATTCGTTAAGGCTGATTCTTTCTGCTATCCAGCCTGTCCCATCATGATAGGGGATCGGAAATGTAGCAAGAAAGTGTCCAATAATGGAGATGGAAAATGGCGGTGTGATAGATGTGACCAGAATGTTGATGCATGTGAATATAGGTATATACTGCAACTCCAAATACAGGATCACACTGGGCTAACATGGGTTACTGCATTTCAGGAGTGTGGTGAGGAGATAATGGGCTTACCTGCCAAAGATCTTTATTATATGAAATATGAAGAGCAGGACGATGAAAGGTTTGCTCAAATCATCCGTAAGGTTCTTTTTACTAAATACATATTCAAGTTAAAAGTTAAGGAAGAGACATTCGGTGATGAACAGCTTGTAAAGTCAACGGTAGTGAAAGCAGAGAAGGTGAACTTTTCATCTGAATCAAGATTTCTTTTGGATTTGATTGACAAGCTTAAAGCTGAGAAGGTAGAAGGCATCAATCCTAACTCTGTAATCAGTAATGCTGGACCGCAGAATGTTGGATCTGGCCTGGCTGTGCCGCCAACTTATACTCCTATAAGGAACAGCAGTGGTGCGAGTAGGGAATATGGGATGCCAGAAAATCAAGTGGGTCAGTATGAACACCAATATAGGAGTTCTTTTGCTTCAGGTGGGTCTTCTGGTTCATTTATGCCTTGCAGCAATTGTGGAGGCTCTGGCCATAGCTCTATGTTTTGCCCAAACATTACTAGTGTACCTCGACAGTCCACGGGAGGAGGGGCCTTTACAAATAGGGCATCCTCAGCGGCAGGTGGTGGAATTGCCACTGGTGAATGCTTTAAATGTCATCAAACTGGTCACTGGGCAAGAGACTGTCCTGGTCTCAATGCGGCAGCCCCTTCAGGTTATGGAAATAGTAGTGTTCATGGAGGACATGGGTTTGTTCAAAGGCAACAGCTTGGCGGATTTTGAACTGCTATTGGAAATGAGAGATGCTCTTGTAACATCATGTTGGATTCTGTCATTGATTCGTTGACGGGTTCTTTGGGGATGGGTGATCTGTACAGCTCAGTTTTGAGAACCTACTTTCATGGCGTTATGCTTCAGAACTTAGGGATTCCGCTTTCCACAAGATGCTGTTGAACAGTGAGCGGCTTGCTTTGTTTGGGGTCTTTTGTATAGTTAGTTTATGAAGCATTGGTTGGCATCTTTATATCGAGTTGGATTTTGTTACGCATGTAACTTCAAGCTTGAGTCATGCGCTCGGAGAGAAATTTCTGTGAGCATGTTACAAGCCTCCCTATGACAATTTTGTAATATATCTAGCAGGTTTATGTTCATTAACTTAACAACTCCCAACAAAATCAAAATCCTCATGTTTAGTTTAAGGATTTCTCAACAATTTTCTCATTTAGTTTAATTAATACTCTTTCAGTCTTTAATATAAAATTTAATTATTGAGTTGATTTTGATTTTAGATATAAGACTTATTTTTTATATTTAGTAATTTTTTAAAATCATTTTTAGGGATATTTTTTTAATCATGATCAAGTAGAAAAGAGAGGATACTATGGAAAATGATTATAGTGTTTTAAAAAAAATATGTCATATTTTTTATAATTGAGTAATTTGTCTAATTTTCTTAATCTAATCAAATTAATTAATTAGGTCTTATATTAAGGATTAAAGAAGTGATAAATTTTTCTTAATTTTGGACAAACAGGTCCTAAAACAAAGAATGACTTGAGGAAATTAATTTTGGATTCTCTTACAAATATACTGCCATTAACGTATAGGGGGAAAAAAAAAAGTGATGTAGATTACAAAAGAAGTCTCTATTAATAGATTCCAGTAAGAAAATAAATTATGTGGTGGTTCATCCACCCATTCAAATGCGTTCTTAGCAATTTTCATACAAATCATATGCCTTTACATCATTCGCAATTTTGCATAGATGGATCTTATTGGGATGAGGTTTCTAATGGATTGAAGGCTTGAACTCCAAGGTCAAACGTACCGATAGTCGGATTTTTTTTTTTCCCCAAGAACAACTTAATTTAAATTAAATAAATTATAGGAACTTATCTGAAAAATAATATATTACAAATTATCCATAGAAAACTAATTCGAAGATATTTAAAAAAATTAGTTTAATTAGTTATTTATAATAAATAAGTATTATTTTTATTAAAATATTTTAATTAATTATGTGTATTGAAATTGCTCTTAATTAAAATCGGGTACGGTTAATTTATGCATTACTTTGAAAAAAGTTATAAATTTTAAAGGCAGTTATTGCAAAGTTCTCTCCGCCACAGGGCCCCGTCTCGAGTTTCCACCGGTTTTAAGCAAGGAAAAAAACACGTGCAACATCCTCTGTTGTCGTACTCCCTTGTCTGTGGTGGCCACACGTCCTTCCAGCTTTCGGGGTCGTCAATTGCCGTCCGGCGACAATAACTTCGGTATGTTCTCCCTCTCCAGACTCCTTCGCTTTTCCTAATTTCAGTATTGATCACTTTCTCGGCTTGATTCAATTCATTGGTTTTCGATTCGCTGAAGATGGACAAATCAGCTTATTAGGGTTCGTGTGGATTTATCTTTCTGGCCTCGTGCGGTCTAGGTTCCTAGAGTTTTCGCTGGCTTCTTTGAACATCAATTATTTTCATGGTGTTCAATAATTGGACTGTGTTTTAAACTCATGAACGGTCTATTTGCTGAATTCCCGTGTTCTAAATGCTTTTTGATGTTGTAGACCTGTAGTCGTGCGTTATTTAAACCTTACTGATCAATTCATGATGTTAAATTTTTAATAACTTTCTCGCCAATAACATCCTAACTTCTACTGAAGGCTTAGGTGCTGGTTCTCCTTCTTCATTTAGTTTACTAGAACTGGGAGCTATTGATACTTTGCACTAGAAAAGATGAGTGTGAAATTTTCTGTGCCAATTGCTGATCGAGATGTTGACGCTTTTGATTTGTAATCCAGAAATTCACTCGGGGATTGTTTTACTAGTATATACTTTCTCACTTTTGTTTATTTTTTCTTTGTTTTTAGAAGGAGTTTCTTTGATAACAGCAGACAATGGATTTATTAAAGGGAATGAATGAAGATGGATCTGAGTGCCCCTTTGATGTGAAAGACATCCAAAGGTGCCCCTTTCTGAGAAACATCAACAAACCTACTAACTTCTTCTTTTCTTCATCAAGGATTAACGTTCCTGTAAGTTTTCTGTGCACTTTCTGTGAAACTTCTATCTGAATGTTGAAATTCAATATGGTTCAGCATTTTAATCGAGTGCCTTAATTAATTCTAAATATTCAGGTGCTCGGAGCCAAGGGTCCTATATTTGAAGATGGTCCTAATTTTGACATGGCATTTAAGCTCTTCCATGGGAAAGATGGAATTATCCCCCTATCTGAAAAATCTGACTTACACAATGATTGTAGAGAACTTGAGCCTCAGCCTGTTTTCAACCCTTTGGCTGCAAAATTTGCCACCATAAGCCTGTCATCCTTTGGGCCTGGTGGCATGTTCGGTTTTGGTGATTTCTCTGAGAAATGGAAGAAGCAAAAGAAGACTGAACCGTCAAACAAAAGAGAACCTTCATCCCAGGTAAACATTGTTGTTGGGCATTTTAACATGAGTTTTGTGCTGGTAGGAAGCATTTAACTATTTAATGATGTGGCCTGGAGACTATCCAATGTTGGGCATGAATTAATATGATCATGTGAAAGAAAAACCTACACTTTCCGTCTTTGGATTTTTTGCTTCATGCGATAATGTTGCCAAAAATTAGCGATAATTCAGCTATTAGGTTTAGGCTCCAAGGGCAAGGTTATTACAATTCTATGTGCTTGATAAAATTTAGCGCACTAGCTCATCAAGTTTCAACTACTGTAGAAAAAAATGTTGGAGATGTGACTTGTATTTCTTCTTTGTTCTCCTTTTGAGCTTTCTATCAGAAAGGAGATTTATCCAAGCATGAGGCACTTGGAAATGAATGGTTGGAAACAGGGAACTGTCCTATTGCCAAGTCTTATAGAGCTGTGAGCCATGTTCTACCCCTTGTTGCTTCAGCTCTTCGGCCACCACCTGGAATGAAGCTTAGATGCCCACCTGCAGTTGTTGCTGCAAGAGCGGCCCTTGCACGCACAGCGTTTGTGAAAAACTTGCGTCCACAGCCTCTTCCTGCAAAAATGCTTGCAATTGCAGCCTTGGGAATGGCAGTTAACGTTCCCTTAGGTGCATGGAAGGAACACACCGAGAAGTTCTCGCTATCATGGTTTGCAGCAGTGCATGCAGCTGTTCCCTTTATTGCCATGCTTCGGAAATCAGTGTTGATGCCTAAATCAGCAATGGCTTTGACAATAGCAGCTTCCATCTTAGGCCAGGTTCTTGGCTCTAGAGCTGAACGCATCCGACTCAAAACTATATCTGAGAGGGGAAAAGTGGTCACTGAGCCAGCGAGTACCATTTCAGGCTTTAATCCAAGCAAGCATGATGACTTTAAGAATGGTCACTGCGGTGCAGGTGGGATGGGTGTGGACTCGGTTTCTATGAAGGAGGGTCGTCCAACTTCAGCAGCCAGTATCTGTTATTGACCACACTGAGATCCATTCATGTATGAATGTGTAATTGATGACCAGAGGTCATAATATGAAATTCTAAGAATAATAATAATAAAAGCATCAATTGTGTGTCTGTAATACGAACAGTTGTTCTGGCTTACTGCTTCTCACGCAGAAAAGCATCGGAGCCTGAGTTTAATACCAAGTTCTTACAAGGAATAGCAGCTTTTACTGCATCATAAAGTTTTAACTGAATCCAGAAAATAGAAGCCTTTAGGCTTTAACTGGAACGTGCAGGGTGCGGGCATGTTGATAATGTTCGGTTGAAGTGGAAGGAAGTTGGTGGCTAGGGATGAAATGAGGGTTTAAAAATCATTCCTTTTTGTTTTTTTTATTTTATAAAAGAGCAAATGATATTAATAAGAAAAATGAAACATTACATGTACATGACTGAAGAAGAGCAGGAAAAAATCATTCCTTAATTAGTAACACATGTTTGGTCACATGTTTGGTCACATGGCCAGGCTTTGATTCCTGCCTTCCTCTTATTTTACTATTTTTTTGGGTCACTGAACCCGGCTTAATTTCTCTGGAATCAGGCATGGATGCAGGCACCGCCCCTCTCCCAGCATTATAAATATGGTAGTGACACTTTACATGGCCAACTGGGGAGGGGTAGGCATACTTCAATTAATATCATAATTATATAATTTTTTAATAATACAATAAATTAATATTACTATTGAAAAGTATTTTTTTTGAAGGTTTAATCCAAACAATTGGTGAGTAATACATTAGTATAAAAAAATTTAATTATTATTTGAAGTTGCTAATCATAAGTACATTCACATGAGCAGGTGGGGAAAAATTTTTTTACATATTTATTTTGTATACTGTAAATTATTATTAAAAAATTATTTTCAAAAGTTATAATTACCATTCCAAAGTTGAAAGAAGAAAGTTGGGGTTTGAGGCATTCACCGCCGCCTTCTGTGTTGGTGAGATTTGCTGTGTGCAGTGAAGATTCCAATTTCACGTTTGGAGACAGCCCCTCCATCATACCCCACCTCTCATAATTTCCACTCCCTTTCCTCTTTTTTTTTCAATTATTTTTTCTCTCCAGCTTTTATTGCGGATATTTTATCGTGAGACGCCCAAAACGCCAAGCGAGGCAATAAATAACACTTTATATATATACATATACAAAGTTTGGGAGATTTGTGGTGTGAAGATGGGCCGCACGTGCTGGTGCTCCACCCTCTGCTCAGTGTATGTTCATTAAATTAAAAAAATAAAATAACATAAACGAATTATAATTTGAACCTAACTAAATAAATAACACATTGCTGGTTAAAAAAAAAAAAAGAAGCCTAAATAAATAACACGTCATAGGACTTTAGCTTCTCCATGTTCCGTACATCATTCCTGCTATATCATCGACCTTAATAAAATATTACGACCTGTTTGGCGCATCCACATTTGTTATTTTGGGTTGGCCAAGACAAGATGCGCCCATATCTACCCCTTAGGCCGGTTTCTGAGTTCTAAATACCTAATGCCCAATTTCTTCTTCTCTAGAGACAGAGTTAGGCAATAATCCACGTGCTTAATGGGGTAGTCCTGCTTCAACTTGAGATTTATACACTCATTCTACTCTTCCCAAATTACTCAAACACTCCTTAATCACTACACTTTCATATTAATTATAAATCATTAATACAACAACTTAATTATTGAAGAGCATTTTATTATTTCCCTTGTTTCCAGTTTTAAGACGATATTTTGGAGAGCGTGATATGTACAGAAATATTTTAGGGATTAGAGGTATAAAAAATTACTTTAGAATACTAGGAGACTGAAAAACAATTTTAAGACGCGAAATATCCTAAAAGTTAGTTCATGATATTGCAAAATTGCTTTAAAATGTTAGATTTTACTTAACTCAAAATACTCCCGTTCTTTCATAATATTACGAGTAAGTCACTTTTAAAAAAATGATTTGGTTCAAAATATAGGTCATTTGATAAGTAACTATCATTTTTTGAAATAGATTTAATGAATTAGCTTTTTTTTTTATATGACTGAATTCGTTAAAATGACTTGTATTATGAATCAAGAGAGTAGAAAGAAAGAAAGAAAATGAAAGAAAAGTGGTTAATGCTCCAAAAACCAATGGGAGCATTCAAATGGGAACAAGGTCCACCAACCAAAGATCCCAAAAATAAATGCCAAACAACCTAAAGTTTGAGTGCCTTAATGCCCTGATTATTGGGGGTATTCTGTTCACACGCTTTCTGATTCCCAAAAAAGATTGATATTCTAAATTCAGTAACCTCGCAAATAATTAAATGCATTCATTCATAGCATTTGTAATAAACTTGCAAAAGCATTAAAGTGAGGAACCATACCCATATGGGGTGTGTTGGTGGATCCTATAAACATTATGGATTAAAATTTAATTAATTCCTATTTTCTCCTACTTTATTACTTCCTCTCATCCTATATATATATATAAAAAAATTGTTAGAACATATATGATCCTCTTTAAAAAATACGTTTAACAATTTTGAAATTTTAACAATTTTTTTCTTTTTCCCTCCTATTACTTATATGTTCCCATATTATTACATTAATTATCTAACTCTTTTATTTTCATTTACTAATTCTCTCTTTTACTCGCTCTCTTTCGATCCATAAATAAAAGTATTTTTTAAAAAATAAAATATATATTTTTACATATTTATTATTTTTAATTAATTTTAACTAACATTTTTATCAATACAGTTTAGTTATTTATGTCTAGAATGTGTTCGGAAAAACATACACCTTTTGACATATTATGTTGACAGGATATTTCAATTCATTCTTGATTGCCAACTTATTTACCATCTCAAAAAAAAAAAAAACTTCCTTGGTGATACAGTAATCCTATAAATTTAGTTACTTATGCTAAAATTTGATTTTTTTCAGCACAATATTATTTAAAAATTTCTTAAAATACGTTTGGTGGTTCAGTACCACTACTAGTGAGGCAGTGCTGGGCTCACTTTCAACAGATGAACGACGACGTGCTTCTTTAACAATCACCACAATGACAAAGTCAATGACGATCCCTTTTCTTTTTCTTGTTTTTTTAAAAAATTATTTGTTACTTAGTTTAAAGTTTTTGATGATTTATTCCCATATTTCTTAATCCATCCAACGCATTCACATAATAGTCGATTCCTGTCAAAAAAAAAAAAGAGATCGACTTCTTCTTTAATCATCATTTATAAGCTATAATTATTTTTGGAGAATCCCAAAAAATTATCTTTGAATTTTAAAATTCTAAATCAATTTTTTTTATTACACTTTAATAACAATTGACAACATTTGAAAAGTAAATGACAACACAATTTTGTAATTATTCCTGATTTGGGATTTTAAAATTTTATAAGCATTTTTTTTGGCAAAAATCTATAAGTTTAAATACTAGACTATATTAAAATTGGATTTAATTTGTTGAACTTGTGGCTGATTGAAAAAGTTGTTTTTATCTTTTTTTCCAACAAGCTGATTGAAAAAATTACTGAGGTTTGTTAAGATAAAATTATTGATATAGGGAAACAAATAAACAATGGGTCTCATCGAAGTCCATAAAGAAAATCAATGCATATGGATGCATGAATGAAAGAATATTTTGAGCAAAGCGTGATCATTAATTAAGCACGTTATGAGGGGCCAATGTCGAACTTTTGTTTTTTTGCAAGAAAGTCAAACATTATACTCCTGGTCATAAATATAAAATTTTTTTATAGTATAAATTACATAATAAAATATATCTTATATTTAGAATTAAAGGAGTATATACAGATAATACAAAATAGATGATCAAATCATCCCTATTTTCCTAGCAATGGGTTCTTCATATGATGTTGGTAAAACAACATTCAATATCTTGATTTTACTTTCTAAGTGTATTTAGGAGTTAGGACTAAATCTTATTTATGATGCATTGTAACATACTGATGTCATTTTTTTAAGGTAAAGTGTACATTTGGTCTTTTAACTCTGTGTAATGTTTCAATTTGATCCCTTAACTTTAAAAAGTAGATTTTTAGTTATTTAATTTCAAAATTATTAGTCTTAAGTGATAATTTTTTATAACAATCATGGTTGTTTTAAATATTAAACTTAATATGTTAGTATTTAATAATATTTTATCAGTATTTACGAGCTTAATATTATTATTCTTTGTTAAAAGTTTTAGAACTAGACGACTAAAAGTTTACTTTTTTAAAGTTAAAAGATCAAAATAAAACATTGTGTAAAGTTAAATGACTAAAAATATATTTTAGACTATTTTTTATGCATTTGGTTTTAATTTTATTTATAGCGCATTTAATGTTCTAAATAAAATCAAAATGATAGATACCTCTCTATCTTTCTGTTGTACCAGTTTTTATTGTGTTTCATCTCATTTCTCTCTTTTTTGTTAGTAATATTTTTCCTTTTCGTGTTCTCATTCTGTTCTTCGAACTTTTCTGTTGCCAATGTCGTAGTTCTCAGTTAAAATCACTTAATAAAATAACTTTCATTTTTCTTCATTTGTTCTAATATTGGTTTTCAAACAATACAAAATATATATATATATATATATATATATATATATGGCAATCCCTATCACTATCCTCTCATGTCGCCGCCGCAGTCAATTTCCTTCCATACATTGTCGGTCCCCAAAATTCCTGTTATTACTCAGCAATTACAGTAGGTAATATTTTTTACAGGTAATTTACGTATTATTCGTATTATATATAATTTTTGGATGATGTTTCTAATTCATTTTATATTATCATTTACTAATATAAAATGTAAAAATTCTCATACATTATTTTATTACGACAAGCCTATCTAGCTTAGGTTTTTAATAGATAGAGCTTAACAATATCCAAACAAAACTTAACAAGCCAGTGCTTGACAATATGACATATGTCAAACATTTATATATTTTAATTTTGCCTCCTAAAAATGATTAGTGGGTAAATCAATGAAATTTAGGACTTCATCCACCCAAACAGTGCCCACCCGGCAAATTCTCTGTCGGTGATTAAACTAATTTGGCCGGGTTGGCATCAAAGTGACTTTTTTAATTTTTTAATTTTTTGGTTTAAAGCCAATAAAATTTACTCTCTCCAGCATTCAATTCAATTAAATTTAAAAAATATATATATCATGATGTCACTTTTTATAACAAAAATCATCACTATAATTATATTTCTATTTTTAATTATAAGTAGTCTGTTTATCAGTTATGTAAACTATTTTAAAATGTAATTTTTTTTACCATTATTTTTTTAAATTGAGAATATTTAATTTCAAAATATATAAATTTGAGCGTAATAAATAAAGCCTAGGAAGTATTATATATATATATATATATATATATATATAATGATCATTTACCCCAAGGGGAAACGCATAGAATAGAACTAGGAAATCAGTGAGAACTGAGGAAACCCAATAAAAAGTTTCAGACTTTTACCGTTCTTTTCTTTTGTTTTTTTCCCTTGTCATTTCCTTCTCTTTCTTCATTATTGGAACAGATTGCGTTAACAGAAGACGAAACATGAACAGAGGACGACAGGGCGCGATATTTTTCATTATATATAATCATCGACTAAGATTAGCCTCACAGCCATCTCTCTCCCACGGAGCAAGCACCATGTTCCATTTCATCTAGGATTTTGCCTCTTGTTCCTTTCCTCCTCTCTGAGTCGCTCGCCATTATTTCAGGCTTCGCCATTACTCTCTTAACATTTCGAAAACAGAGTGAGAAAGAGGAACTACTCTGTCGCATTTAAAGGTACGCATTCTCGTCCCCTACTTCTCTTGATTTTGGCTTCCTACTTGTTTTTTTTTTTCTCTTTCATCTTCTTTGTCTGTCATAACCCAGATCTGATTATGCTCGTTGCTGCTTCCATTTTCTCTCTTTTCCAATTTCCATCACAGATCTGATTCCTGTTTCCGGGTTCTCTGTTTTTTCTGTTTTTCAAATATGCTATGTTTAGCTGCCGTGAGCACCGGCGAGCGTGGGACGTTCGTTAGAAGTTACACTCCGAGCTTTCATCTTTTCCATTTTCATATACTCACTTCAATTATTTCAATGGTATTGGAACAATGGAAGCCGTTGTTTTTGTTAAAGAACACGTGTTTGTTTATTTCTGAATCAGAGAAACTTGAATGCGAAAAGCTCTGCTTTTTGCATATCATACAGCAAATGATCGATTGTTCGTAAGGGGGAAAAGTTAATCGGCAAGAACATAAAGTGGGTGATTAAATCTTTCCGTATCTGTCAAGAAATTATTAAGCAACGTGATGCCAATTCACTTGTAAAATTCCATTTTTCTATATCTTCAACGGCATAATGGTGTGGGGCTGTGAGATCTGGCGTTTGCTTTGTGACTTTTTTTTGACTTTTTCGAGGGATGATGAAGCAGTTCGACTCTTATGGGCTTTATAGCCAATGGCATGTGACAGCCATAAAGACATAGTGTCGGTGGTACCATATTTCACATTTACAGCTTACCCGTGTCGTTTTAATGGTCCATGTCTTCAAGTAGTACCTACCAGCTGGAACTTAGCCGTCATTCTCTCTTTCTTCTCTTTACTCACTCTGAATTCCCCCCAAGTGTGTCTGTCACGGGATTTTGCATCTTGTTTCATTGATCCACTTGATACAAGCAAGTTTTGTTTTCACATTAACCAACGTTATTTGTCTCTTGTTCTCTCTGGGTATTGATTTATAAAAACAGATAGTGGTCTTGTTCTATCTTTTTTCTGCAAAATTTCCCGGAAACTGAATACACCCCATATCCGCAGATGAAGCATAAAGATGGAAAACCGATCAACCTCCCAGACAAGAAGTCCAAGGTTGTCCCTACGGCAATCTTGCTTTTGCTGTGTGGACTTAGCTTCTACCTGGGTCGATTCTATTGTTCCAATAAAGACAACGTCATCACCAGCAACATTCAGAAGGCAATGAGGAATTCTCCAAAAGAATCCTCAGTTGCTCCTTTGCAAATCAAACCCATCATCTTCCCAGAATGCAGCACTGACAATCAAGACTACACTCCATGCACAGATCCAAAGGTATCCTTATATCATTTAACTTCTCTCTCTCTCTCTTGTTCATTAAGTAACATTTACAGAGAAGAAAGTGGCCTCCTTGATGATGATTAAAAAAGTAAGCTTGCTTGGTTTTTTGCAGAGATGGAGGAAGTATGGTACCTATAGGCTAACCTTGTTGGAACGCCATTGTCCTCCAAAGTATGAGAGGAAAGAATGCTTAGTTCCTCCTCCTGATGGATATAAGCCCCCAATCAGATGGCCAAAGAGCAGAGATGAATGTTGGTACAGGTATATTTATTATGTGCTTCCTGAGTTAGTTAACATGACAAATCCGGATTGACTATTTAATCTGGAGGAGTTAGTTAATTAGTCGGCCTAACTGAAGTGAACACGTGTGATATGTGGTTAGGTGCACTGTCACATATTCGAATTCTAAATTTTGCCAATTTCTTGGAGCCCACCTTATGGCGGGTTCATAAAATTTATTAGTTGTGACATTGGACAAATTTCAGGAACGTGCCGTATGATTGGATAAACAAGCAGAAATCGAATCAACACTGGTTAAAAAAGGAAGGAGAGAAATTCATGTTTCCTGGTGGAGGTACTATGTTTCCCAATGGTGTTGGGGAATATGTTGATTTAATGAGAGATCTGATCCCAGGAATGAAAGATGGGACTATCCGAACTGCCATTGACACTGGATGTGGGGTGAGGAGTTTCATTACCTGATAATTTCAATAGCAGATTTGAACCGTTAGACTGACATAATTAAACACAGGACATGTTTATATTAATTAAATCCTGGGAACTCTGTTTTGTGTCCAAGGTTGCTAGCTGGGGTGGTGACTTGTTGGATCGTGGGGTTCTCACAGTTTCTCTGGCCCCAAGAGATAACCATGAAGCTCAAGTTCAGTTCGCTCTTGAACGTGGCATCCCTGCAATTCTTGGCATCCTTTCCACACAGAGACTTCCTTTCCCTTCCAATTCCTTCGACGTGGCTCACTGCTCAAGATGCCTCATCCCTTGGACCGAATTTGGTAATTCTCACATCTCCTAGAATCTTCATCTGAACATGACTGTGTTGTGCCAATGATTTTGTAATTTAGTGACATGAAAACTCACAAAACCTTCAGTGTCTGCCACTTTAATTCAAAAAAATAATGAGAGTCTTGTGACATATGTATGCAGGTGGGATTTATCTGTTTGAGATTCATCGTATTCTGCGCCCCGGAGGGTTCTGGATACTGTCTGGTCCGCCGGTGAACTACGAGAGAAGGTGGAGGGGATGGAACACGACGGTGGAAGAGCAAAGATCAGACTACAACAAGCTTCAAGAACTGCTCACATCCTTGTGTTTCAAGCTGTACAACAAGAAGGAAGACATAGCAGTGTGGCAGAAATCACCCGACAACAAATGTTACGACAATATTGGCCCAGAATCCTACCCACCAAAATGCGACGACGGTCTCGAACCTGACTCCGCCTGGTACACTCCTCTTCGTCCATGTGTGGTGGTTCCAAACCCCAAGTTCAAGAAATCGAGTCTGAACAAGGTTTCCAAGTGGCCTCAACGCTTGCACGTGGCACCGGAGAGAATCACAGATCTGCCCAGCGGGTCTGCGAGCATGTTCTCGCATGATGATAGTAAGTGGAAGAAGAGGGTTCATCATTACAAGAAGTTGATGCCGGAGCTCGGCGCCGACCAGATAAGGAATGTGATGGACATGAACACAGTGTTCGGAGGTTTCGCGGCGGCTTTGATTGCTGATCCTGTGTGGGTTATGAATGTGGTTTCCTCGTATGCTACGAACACCCTCCCTGTCGTTTTTGATCGAGGCCTGATCGGGACCTTCCATGACTGGTAATCTTCAAATGGTTTCTCAGCTTATTCAATTATTTCTCAGAATTATGTTTATAAATTCGAGTGTTGTGTCTTTTGTTGTAGGTGTGAGGCATTTTCGACATATCCTCGTACATACGACCTTCTTCATCTGGATGGACTCTTCACTGCTGAAAGCCACAGGTGACTTTTTCATATCATCTCTTTCTTCTTAAACACCATTAAATCCCTCCTTGTCCACGATAGAGAATAACAAAATTGATTGCAGATGTGAGATGAAGTACGTGATGTTGGAGATGGACAGGATCCTGCGACCGAAAGGGTATGCGATCATCCGAGAATCAACTTACTTTGTGGATGCTATTGCGACAATGGCCGAGGGAATACGATGGGAGTGTCGTCAAGAAAACACAGAATACGACATTGAGACTGAGAAGATCTTGATCTGCCAGAAAAAGCTCTGGTACTCATCTTCCAGTGCCTGAAGACGACGATCCCTCAACTCAGATCTTCAACCAGCAACCAAACAGATGATTCATTTTAAAAAGGACAGCAAGGACTGAATCTGGTAACAGGTTTACCAATGGAAGAATTGACAAGCCAAATAATTAATTCTGATTTTGGTTATAGTGAGATTTATTCTAGTATAGATGTTTTGTTATTCATAGTATTATTATTATTATTATTCTTTATAGGCCAACAAATGTATTGGTTATATGTCTTCCTTTTATCTCTGTTTTTCTTCTTCTTCCCTCGGCATTTTCTTCTCTTGTACTGTGATATGAAGGCGGAATTCCCCAGGAATGCTGTTGCTGCTTCCTCAGGTGTATCCCTCAAAAACAGTGTTACTGTGTTTCAATACAAATTCTTTCCATGCAATTCAACGTCCTTGTGAATATTTCTAGCATATATATATGTTGTGAATATTTATTTTTTTAATTTAAACGTGTTAACTTATACGTAGTTAATAGATTAGGACCTAAGTCCAGTACGAGCGAAGCTAATTATGTGAATAATGAAATATATTTATAAGTCCAGAGAGGGAGTATTACACTATCACCTGTGCAATTTAAGATTTAAATCCTTATCATAGCCCCATACATGAGATATGGGAGAATAAGAGTTTGAGGGAGTCATTGTAAAGACTGATAAAGGACTCTCAAATAACTTCTCTCTCATTCGGCTTCTCCTCTATTCTATCCAATGACATTTGCTATGTAACCCTTGGCATCGGTCATGAAATGTTATATCACATGGGCATGCCAAATAACTTGCCCGATTTCGGATACGCCCGAAATCCTTTGAAACGTAAATTACTCAAACAGCGGACATATATTTAACTAGTGAATTATTACGTCTGGTTTTTAGTATAAGAATTTTTTTTTTATTTTAATCTTAAATATAAAATCTTAATTCATTTTGTCTCTCGTATTTATCTATTTTTACTCAAAAGAGTTCTTGTAATAATGACAGTTTTAGTCAGTATATTTGTTTAGCAAAAATATTTCAGGAAAGACAATAACTATTTATTATAAATAACTAACTTAACTAGTTTTTTTTAATCTACTCAAATTAATCAACTAACTCTTATATTAAGGACTATATGTAGTAATTGCTACCTCCAGTCCTAAATATAAAAGCTACTACCTCCGGTTCTTAATATAAGACCCTGTTTGACTTTTATTTTAGTTCTAAATATAAGACCCCAATCCACTTTGTCTCTTATATTTATACATTTTTTTTCAAAGTAACTCTTCTAACAATGATAGCTCTAGTCAATACACTTGATTAGCAAAGATATTTTAGGAAAGATAACACCTATTTAGAACAAATAATTAACTCAACTTACTTTCTTAATCTCCTCAAATTAGTCAACTGACTCTTATAATTAGGACCGGAGGTAGTAATTGACTAATTTGAGAAGATTAAGAAAATAAGTTAAGTTAGTTATTTGTAATAAATATATTGTCTTTCCTAAAATATCCTTACTAATATAGTGTATTGGTTAGAATTAATATTATTAGAAGGACTACTTTGGAAAAAGATATACTCCTCCGGTCCTTAATATAGGACCCAATTCTTAAGTTGATTTTGGTCCTAAATATAAGACCCATTTCTCATATTTATCAATTTTCTCTAAATTACCCCTATAGATACTCCCTCAACCATAATTAAGTAAAAGAGAAAGGGGGTATTAAGAAAGATGATTATGGTATTTTAGGAAAAATGTGTCAATTTTCTTATAATTAACTAACTTTCCTAACTTCCTTAATCTAATCAAATTAATTAAATGGGTCTTATATTAAGGACCAGAAGAGTACAAATATGAGAGACAAAGTAAATTAAAATCTTATATTTATAATCAAAATAAAAATCAAATGAGATTTTATACGGAAAACCGGAAGATACTATTACATATAATTTTTCTCTAGTACATTGGTCCTGTGACACGAGTAAGACGTGCTTTTTTTTTTTTTTTTTTTTACCAGAAGAGTAAGACGTGCTTACTCCTCAGAAATGTACCTCACAATGTGTTGGGTCTTCCAATAACGATAAGGTCGGTACCTATACCATACCTTATTGGGTATGAGAGTGAGACGATCCTTAACACGTAGCACTTTCGGTCGTGCAGGGTGCACATGTGGGGTATCCCAAAAAGAAATTAGGAAAAATAACCCAAAAAAAAAGTTAAAAATTACTAAATTTCAAATCAGTTTTGGTACTAATACTTTATTTGATGTTGATAATATTAAATTTATAAATAATAAGAAATTTCTTATGTAGCATTTGGTGGTTTTCAACTTTTTTAATACTCCTCCGGTCCTAATTATAAGACCCAATTGACTTATTTGAAGAGATTAAGGAAGTAAGTTAAGTTGGTTATTTATAATAAATAAGTGTTGTCATTCCTAAAATATCCTTGCTAATTAAATATATTGGCTAAAACTATCATTATTAGAAGGATTATCTTGGAAAAAATGCATAAATATAAGAGATAAAATGGATTGGAGTCTTATAATTAGGACCAAATAAAAAGTCAAATTGAGTCTTATAATAAGGACCGGAGGAGTAATTTTTTTCAAAAAATTAAGGGACCCCACCGACCGCACTAATGCATTGAGCCACATACTTATACGTAGTGAACACCTCTTTCGTAGTCTATGTATCTTTGTAACTTGTAATTATTCTTTGAATATATTGGCTTGTTGAGATGAATCTAACACATCTAAAGTTTTAATCGTTCGAGGGAAGAAAAAAATATAAACGAAGTAGAAAGGGGAAAGGGGAATTGCACACGGGAAAAAGCAGAAGAGGAGAGGAATTGGTACGCTTGTGGAATGAGAATGAAAAGGATGGGAAGGCTTCAAATCTGATGAGTGCGTGTGAGGGAGAAATGAAAGGACATAAGATGATGGTGATGATGATAAGCCACTTGTTCTCTCTTATAGTGCTCTTCTTCCTGTTTTGGCAAACCACAACTTGTCCTCCAATGAAATCATTACAAATCATGTCAATATTCACCATCCATCCTGTCTTAAATATAAGACCCATTTTATAATCTATATTGTTGCTGATTTCTTATTGCTGCCATAGAATGTTGTTTTTTATAACTACGAAAATCCATTTTTATTGATAATATAAAAATGGGCAACTAAATAAAAATAAATTAAATTAAGTAATAAATGAAGTTATTGGATCTATAAATACATTATCCTCAAGCAGCTGGTTTTTGTTACCTTACAAAACGGGTCTTATATTTAGGACCAAAAGAGTATTATAATACTACCTCGGGTCCTAATTATAAGATCTCATTTGTAAACTGCAAACGACATCTTATAATTAAGACTGGAAGTAGTCTTATCTCCTATTCTTAATAAACGATTTACCCTATAGTTTAATATTATTTTCAGTCTTTAATATTATCTCTAGTTTCTAGTTTATAGTCTAATTTGAAGTATAAACTAAATTTTATACTAAAAAGCGGAAATGATATGAAATATAAACCCAAAACAAAACAAAAAATCATACGGGCAATCGTTCATGCGTTGATAAGGATACTAGAAATTTCACTAGATTGATCATTGAATCAAGAAGTAGTTGGCTCAAGGTTGGATGATGGATGGTCAAACAATACTTGATCGGTGATCAAGGAGGTTATATATAGTCAATTTAGTGCATGTTTTAATTATATACTAACCGTATTAAATAATAAAGAATAAAAATGATATTAATGTTAAAAAGCAAGGATATTTTTAAATTTGCTGGAAAATTCTCCGCTGAAATATTCATTACGTAAAACCACTTGCAATTTTTCTTTAAAGAAATTGTTGTCTTTAAAAAAATATATAAATGTGGGACCTGAGAATCCAGGAGTGCGGGAAGGGGGGCCCACGCCATGTGCGCACCAATTTCTCCTTTTTGGGTGCTTTCGTCTTCCAATACTTCCCTCACATTCTTCTTCTTCCCCTTCTATCATCCTATTATCCCCTCACCGTCCTCTTCTATCTACCCCATGCACCACCCACGTCCCTTTATTGTTTCCTTGCTCCTCCATTTTCTATTCCTTGTCAACTCATAATCATAAGACAAGTTGGCGTGGCACCCAAACAAACAATTTTTTATTATTATTCCAATCACCATCCAATATTTTATTATAATTGATAAATATAAGAGGTAAAATAAATTAAGGTAATATATTTAGATTTATATAAAACCAACTCATTAACTAGCTTATATGTGATCAAATTATGAGCACGAGGTCAATGCCTTTTCGATCGTTTTCTTCGTTTTGTTACGATGCTTCGGTCTTCAAATAGGCCTGCATGCACTGCCATGCCTTGACTAACTTGCTTCAGAGAGACTGCTCACCACCCCTGTAACTCCATTACTATTTTCCGATCTCTCTCTCTCTCTCTCTCTCTGAGATCCTTCCATGGATAATAAACCAAAGTCCGATCAGGTCGTTCTCTTCATCGACCACCTCAACGCTAGCCCTCCTTCCGTGGAAACTCACCACAGCAACAATAACAACGACACCATCATCACCAACAGCAAGCCAGAGCTCACTTCTAGAGTTAAGACCTTCAATCGCCTCAGCTTTTCCAAACCCAAATCTCGCATCCAAGAATATGACCACCCACTCTACGCTAACTTCACTGTCCCCGAAGAAGCCCATGACGACGCCGCCCGGTATTCTTCCACCGACGACGAATGGGATGACGACGACGACGATGATGAAGAAGAAGATGAGGTCGGGGAGGACGGCCGCCCCAGGTCACACAAGAAAACCAAACGTCGTCGTCGGAAGATTCAATGGAAGCGCGTGCTGGAATGGGCCTTGTTCCTCATCATATTAACCAGCTTGGTCTCTAGCACCACCATTGCTTCCATTAAGACGAAGCATTTGTGGGGTTTGGAGATTTGGAAATGGTGCTTGATGGGGATGGTCACGTTCAGTGGAAGGTTAGTCTCCGGCTGGCTCGTGGCCGTCTCCGTGTTCATCATAGAACGGAACTTCATGCTCAGAGAAAAGGTGTTATACTTCATCTACGGTCTCAGAAAAAGCATCAGAAACTGCATATGGCTTGGCCTCGTGTTATTCTCGTACTGGACCGTCGTCTTCGACAACATCCAGAAAAAAAACCACAAGTTCCTCAACAAGGTGTTCCAGGCTCTGGTGGCCGTCCTCCTCGGAGCCGTAATCTGGCTCGTGAAGATCGTCCTGGTGAAACTTCTAGCCTCGTCGTTCCACGTCACGACCTACTTCGACAGAATGAAAGAGAGCGTGTTCCATCATTACATACTGGACACGCTCTCGGGGCCGCCATTGGAGGAGATCGAGGGAACGACGTCGCAGCATCTGACGGGGTCCAAGTCAATGCCGGCGAACTGGAAGGAAAGGAACAAGGCGATGAAGGAGGCAAAGAACTTGTACAAGTCGAAGAAGTTTGGGTCGAGGAAGATAGATATGGAGAAGCTGAGAGAACTAAGTATGGAGAGCACGGCGTCGGTGTGGAGCGTGAAAAGGCTGGTCAACTACGTGAGGTCGTCAGGGCTGTCCACGATTTCCCGGACCGTCGACGATTTCGGGAACTCCGAGTCGGAAATCTGCAGCGAGTGGGAAGCTAGGAATTGTGCCCAGAGGATTTTCAAGAACGTTGCTAAACCTGGTGCCAAGTAAGTAGCGTGTATTATTATTAATTTATTATGTTAATTATTTATTAGATCGATGCTTAAGTAGATAGAACCAATTTCAGCAGTGGTGAGTATAATAATACTTATCGTTAGGATGAAATCTAAATTATTCAAAATCAGTTTTAATCGTTTAAATTTAAAATTTATAATTAGTAATTTTTAAATAAAAATTTATTTTTTAAAAAACTTATAGTTAAGAAATAACTATTGAAACTAGTTCTTAAGCAGTAGAGATAGCTTTTGTATGACCTCTGCATGGTAATTAGAGGCATAATTTGGGGGGATACCCACAGTTTAAAACACTTGTCACAGATTAATTAGCTATAAGAAATTTTGATGCGCTTTTGCATGCACAGAATAACATCACATCCGTTGAAATAATATTTAGTTTAGAGATTCAAACGATGAACTTTTAATTTCTTTGTACTATCTTCTTTTAACACAATCATCTCATCAAACTATGACATGTCTTATCATAGTTACAGAGTTAATATATTATCATGATAAGAACTTCCACTAATCCATGAGATTTCCTTCATAAAATTTTGATTATACTGCTTTATATTTATATACTAGTTCCAGTCCTAATTAGAAGACCCAGTTGGCTAATTTGAGGATATTAAGAAAAGAAGTTAAATTAGTTATTTGTAATAAATAGGTGTTACATTTCCTAAAATATCATTACTAATCAACTATATTAGCTAGAACTATAATTATTAGAAAGATTATCTTGGAAAAAATTGAATAAATATGAGAGACAAAATGGATTGGGATCTTATATTTATGATCAAAATAAAAGTAAAACAGGATCTTATATTAAGGATTGGAGGTAGTATAAAGAAATTAATAACATGCCACGCCATATATACTCCCTTCCTCCATACGTCATATTTACAAGTTTCAAACTTGAAAATAGGTGTAATCCATGTTATAAGTTTCAATTTTGATTCGTCTTAACATTCAATGTATTTTTTTAATGTTACCCTTAATTATTTCTTGCGTCTAATATTTTTTGGAAAAATGGCAATTAGGTCCCACTCAAGGGAATTAAATACAAAAAAGTCCATTGAAATCATAAAATTATTTTAAAGTCCCAAAATTTTTTTTGCATTAAATTTTATTTGTTTACTTACCAAATTACCCTTCTTTTTTTTTTTTTTAAGTTTGCATTGACAACTGAAAGAGCAGTGGTTGACAACTCAGGGTGCAAGGATTGACAACTATCGCGGCTGGTTTGACAACTTATGGTCTGATATGCTGAGAAAATGTGTTGTCAAACCAGCCGCGATAGTTGTCAATCCTTGTACCCTGAGTTGTCAATACAAAGTTTAAATAAAAAAAAGAAGGGTAATTTGGTAATTAAACAAATAAAATTTATTGCAAAAAGGTCCCTTGGGACTTCAGAATAATTTCATGATTTCAAGGGACCTTTTTGCATTTAATTCCTTTGAGTGGGACCTAATTGCAATTCTCCCATATTTTTTTCACACGTTCTCTTTCATATTTTTTCTCATTCATTATAAAAGCATATTTGAAAAGAAAAATGTGTTTTTAACATATTTATTATTTTTAAATAACTTTAACTAATTATTTGTTATCCATATATTAGCTATTTGAAAAATTTATAATAAGAATCGGAGGGAGTAGTAATTAGAGATGGGCCACTGATCCTCACATATATATATATATATATATATATAGTAGCAATATGTGTGTGTGTGTGTGTCACTAAAACGTGATAAAATTCAGCACCTCTCACGCATGCGTCAGGGCCACTAAGTGGAAAAACTTAATAATTAACATACATTTATATATATAAATATATATATGTACATATCAATGAATGAATGATGTAAAGAATAATTTTGTGAACCAGCTTCATCCACGGAGATCTTGACAATATATCACATTCCACAAACCCACTCTGGCCTTATTTAAAATCATATTTGAAATCATTTATAAGCACATTTATGTAAGTTGAGACAATACTTATCTTATATTCTAAATGACAATTGAAAAATTACTTATAAATTATTCGAAACGGGTCGAAATCAAAATTATGGTTCAGACATACAGGTGTTTAATGAAACGACCCACCTTGTGAGGCGGCTTTGAAGAGCTGCTCTGTGGTCCCTCTAATATAATCGCGTCAAATAGTTGCTCTGTGGTCCTTATGGTCATCATCAAACTCACCCCACTGCGGCTTCTGCACCAAACGACAACCAGTCATGATGTCGTTTGACGCTGTGGATGCAAGAGTGAGGTAGCCAGGTAGCTATCACCAGGCACGTCCAGGCTAGGCTTCCGTCTATAAATATGGTTTGGATAGAAACCAAACCATGGTTTCAGAAGTGTTTTTACGGATTACGAAGTAAATATGTGGAGGAGATTACCTCGTTTTGCGGAAAAGTGCTTCTGAAACCATGGTTTTGGGTTTCCCAAACACCCCCTATATATCCATCTTCTATTTCCCCATTAGCCGCTCCCTGCCTTTTCGTGCATAGCAGTACGCACCCACATTAGTAAACTAGTAATCATCGTTGCGTTCTGTCTTGTCGCCCTCAGTCTAGCTGGTCCACGATCTTCCCCCCCACCCGCCACTGTGCCATTTCAAATATTCTCTCCATTATTATATACGTCCTTCCTAGTGTAATAAATATAATGACTAGTTGATAGATGAATCTAGGAGGTGTTTGAAAACCCAAAATCACTTAATAAAAGTATTTTTTCACATCAAAATAAACTTTTCTACATTTTACTTTATATGTCATAAGCATTTTTAAAATTATTTATGATTTTGTTTCTACGCAAACACTGTCTTTATCTTAAATATTACACCTCAACTCATTTTTTGCTTGTAATTTATAATATTTTTTAAAATTTTTCTATCAACTGTAAGAAGTTTCTACTAATAGGTAATTTTAATATATATAATTAAAGAGGATAATTTAAAAAATTAAAAATAAACTCATCAGAAATAAGTAACTTAACTAATTTTTTTAGTTTTTTCAAATTAGTTGTCTTAACTCATTCATTAAAGACAGGAGGAAATATGTTTGGTATACAGTAAAAGCACGTAGAAAAAGTGTTTTAGACTAAGTGAAGACAAAACTCTTATGACATACTCATTTTAAACTTCGTAAAATTACTTCTAAAGCTGATATAAACACTCCCCTAGTTTCAGGCTTATTCTTAGGTATGCTAATAAAATGGAAGGATTCATTAATAATATAAGCTAAATTGTGTATGATCTCTGACTTTTGATTGGCACAACAAGTGACACATATGATTCATGAATTATACTATTGAAGGTATATTGAAGAGGAGGATCTCATGAGATTTTTGAAGAGAGTTGAGGTTCATACTATATTCCCGCTCTTCGAAGGCGCCCTTGAAACTGGAAAGATCTCCAGGTCCTCCTTTAGAAATTGGGTGGTAAGTTTCTTACTGCAGAATCCCCAGTTCCATGATGATCCCTTTGTTACTAATTACTTTGTTGGCTTTAATCAACTAATGTATTAGATAATATTAATGAACGAATTTGCATGGATATATAATCAGATTCGAGCTTACTATGAAAGAAAGACTCTGGCACAATCACTGAACGACACCAAAACAGCAGTTCAACAGCTTCACAAACTAGCAAGTTCCATAGTGATAGTTGTAACGATCATAGTGTTCCTTTTGGTGATGGAGCTGGCTACCCTCAAAGTAATACTTTTCTTCATCACACAAATAGTTCTGGTTGGGGTTGCCTTCCAAGGCACTTGCAAAACTGTGCTGGAGGCCATCATCTTCGTCTTCATCATGCACCCTTTTGACATTGGAGATCGCTGTGTCATTGACGATGTTCACGTAAGTTATCATATATTCTCATCAAACTCATCAAGGATGCCCACTTCTTCTTCTTAATTAATTTAACATTATTCTTGTATTCATTAACCATATTGCTGCTTCTTCAACAGATGATTGTGGAGGAGATGAATATCTTGACGACTGTGTTTCTTCGATACGACAATGAGAAAATCTACTACCCCAACGCAGTTTTGCTCAGCAAGCCCATAAGCAATTTCTATAGGAGTCCAGAAATGTGGGATTCTGTTGATTTCGTTATTGACGTTTCAACACCTATGGAGACCATCATTTCTCTCAAGAAATCAATTCAAACGTAAGAATATGTCTCTCTGATCTTTATCTTTCTTTTCACAGTAATATGATCAGATTTTGATGAGTATGTGTATGTATATGTATATACAGGTACATAGAGAGCAAGCCGAAGTACTGGAATCCAAAGCACGCGGTGATAGCGAAAGAGATAGAGAATGTGGATAAGCTGAAACTGTGTCTTTGTGTTCAGCACACGATCAACCATCAGAACTATGGGGAGAGAAACAATCGGATGACAGAGCTTTTGTTGGAGCTGAAGAAGATATTTGAGGTGCATGAAGTTAAGTACAATCTTCTTCCTCAGGAGGTTCACATCACCAAGATGAACAGTACCCAAAGTGGGAGGCCTGTGTTGTAATAATAATCACAACATGCTGCCGCTGCGAAACCAAAACGCTTACCGATGGCTCATAAGTTTTAATTTGGTCTCTGAGATATCTTTTGCTCGATCTGAATATTCAAATTAAGTTCTCTGCTTCGTGACTGTGTGATAAGTTGCTAAAGTATATTCGCAAGTACTGCCTCTAGCCCTTAATACTATTGCGTCTTTAATATAAGAACTATTTTGACTTTCAATTTAATTCTAAATATAAGGTCATAATCTATTTTGTTAATCATATTTATCTAATTTTTTTAAAGTAGTTCTTATAGTACATGTTAAAGATTTCATCAAATGGTAATTCTAATCAATACACATGTAGAAGTATTTTAGAGAAGATAATACTTGCTTATTAAAACTAACTAATTCAATAAACTTCTTTAATCTATTCAAATTAGTCTAATAGTTCTTATATTAAGAACCAGTTGAATAATTTGGAGATATTAAGAAAGTTAGTTAAGCTAATTATTTATAGTAAATACTACCTCCAGTTCTAATTATAAGATCTCGTTTATAATCTGCAAATGAGATATTATAATTATGACCAGAGGTAATAGATGTTATCTTTTCTAAAATACTTCTCTGATTCTAAATATAAGACCCACTTTGCAAAGTGGGTCTTATATTTAGAACCGGAAAAGTATTTTAGAAAAGATAATATCTATTACCAAAGTAGGTTTTATATTTAGTAGTGAAGGATTACCTTGATCAAACATGTATGTTTGAATTATAAATTGAGAGTGAAACCAGGTCTTAATTAAGGACTGAAAATAGTTGTACCAAAATTGTCGTTATTTTGACTTTTGAGGTTAGCCAACTGGGCCACGTTCCATATTTGGTCTATGGAAAGCCCATGGAAGACACGGGGAACACGGAAGTCCTGAGTTCGGCATTCCCAATGCCGCCCGATGAAAAACGAGTAAAAGAAGGATTTGGAGTATTAAATTTCTTGCCCTGTCTATAATTCTAATCTTGGAAACATGGCTGACGAGTTAAAACGTAAACATGTGTTACCTTTTTCATATTTTTAAGGTTAGAATATGTTCATTCCTCCTTCCTAATTATACAGTGCATTTAATTAAGAATATCCTATGAATATAGAAATTAGGGAAATTCAAATAACCCCAACAACGCGTTTACCATATCATATTACATGTGGAGAGAAAATTTGAAGAGAAAATTTAACAAAAACATGATGAGGGAAAGTTTTCGATTTGAATAAGAAGAAACAGAATAAGAATATTAAAAGAAAAGTGGAGGATAAATCAAAAAATGCATGATACTATATGTATTTTTTTTTCCTTTAAAGAGATAAAATTTGCTTTCTAAAACCGCCTCAGGAGCACACTAAGTATATATGGGGCTCACATATTTTTTTAATATAAATATTATTTTCACTATAAAATTGGTCATTATTCTATTTACTCTTTAATTTTTTTATCTATTTAAAATAATAAAATATTAAAAATAATAATTAATCATTAATAATACAAGAAATCAGAAAGATGCATATTAATTATTAGTTTTAACTTAAATTATAAAATCACATAAATTTGGACAATTTAAATTTAATTATTTCTAAATATCTTTTTTTAAAATTATTACTTTTTAGTCCTTTCCGTTGTATTAAAGAATAAGTTATTATTTTTTAAATTTGAACAATTTGAGTAGGTATAGGGGTTGAGGTCAAAAGCGGATATTGCGTGGAGTGAGCACAAAGAAAGAGGTGATTTGGTGGCGGTAGCGATGGCCTCCCACCTAAGAGCCCTCCTTCGACACGTGTCAATCTCTCTTCACCTCAGTGTTCCCGCCACCCGCCACCCGCCACCCCGGTCTTCTGTAATCCTATTCTCATCTATGCCTTTATTCCAATTGGCTTGTTTGGATTTATATTGATGGAATTAAGGGGTACTTGAGTAATCCTAAAATTACTTCTTATGTAATTGAAATAAATTTTTTTATATATTTATTTTCGTAAAAACACTTTAAAACCATGGTTTTGTTTCTACCTAAACACCTCCTAAATTTTATTCACTAATTTTTACAAACTAAATTAGTTTATTTAATATGATTTATATTTAGATGGATCTTCATAAAAAAAGTAGTTTGACACAGATTTGTTCAGATAATATATTAAAAATTAAGTTTCAAAAATTCAGCTAAAAAAAGTTTCAAAAAATTTAAGTATGAAAAAAGTCCAAAAAACAAAAAATAAATCATTTCTCCTTTAAAGTGGCTTTTTGGTGGGAAAAAAAAAGTCAATTGCCTCCAGAGCTATGTTAATAAACACAATTTTTTCCCCTCCCTTTAGCTGGTTTTTTTTTTTTGTGTGGTCCTAACTAACTTCTAAAGCTTTTTAAAGCTATCCCAGACGCACACGTAGCTCTTGTTTGGTCTACTAAATCATGTCTATGAAAATGAAAAAAATATAAATATAAAAATAAAAATACGTTAAATTTCTGCAGAAATCGCTCATATATACTTGTAAATTTTATTTTATTGCTCACAAGCATATGAATTCGCCTATAAATACTTTGGGAGTAAGAAATCCTTCACAATAGTGTTGCTTTTGGTGTACAAAAACGTATAAAATATTGGGTAAAGGTGCGATATCCTGATTTTTTGTACATGATATAATTAGTATCCTGATCTTATTTTCTTAATATATTCAACATCTCAAATGCTGAATTTAAAAAATAAAATAAAATCAGAGTATTGAATGTACCATATAAAAGATGAGAATACTAAATATACGTCTACACTAAAATGCTTTTAAGTAGTAAAATTACTAAACAGAAGCTCGTGAGTAATTTTTCCTATCTAGCTAGAGTTATGTTTGAATTATAAATAGACCATATTATTCTTGCACCACTCTCCGTCATATTCGCCCATCACTAAATGGAATATTGTCCATCAAAGTATCACTTGAAAAGAGTGTTTGGTTAAAAATATAACGTAATTTTAAAAATAATTTTACGGTATATAAAATAAATATATAAAAAGAATTATATCTCAATTTAAATAAAAATACTTTTTAAAAAGTCCTTTCATCACAAACCTAACACCCTCAAAACCATATTGTTATGAGTAGTTCAAATTTTGAATAAGAATAAAGAAAACACTTAATAAAATTATCAAGTAAGATTTTTTGATCAACAATTTATTTACAAATTTAGTTTTTGATAGAGCTCAATGGTATTGTATAATCCATGTAACTAATATCATCTAATAGGATAAGTAACTGTATTTTAAGTATCTTTCTCTCTCTAGACGCACACGTAATATCTTGTTTTAGACGCTTCTCGAGATGAAGTGTGGGGGAGGATGATGTGAGGCATCTTCAACCAATTTCAAATGGTGGAGGAGCCATTATTATTATTATTACATTATTGACGTTCAAGTGGCATATAAGGAAAGTTGTTCATATGAATGATGTCAACAAACGGTGGCGCCTTCAATAATTACAAAGAAATATAAACGGTACCTTATAAACTTTTTTTTCCCGCAGTTTACTAAATTAATAAATCACAATAGGGATTGACTTGTTTCTAGGCAAAAAGATTTTTAAGAATTGATTTATTTTAGATAAAAAAAGTGTAGGAATTCATGAGTTTATTTTAGTTAAAATTTAGTAACTGATGAGTAATCAATAATTAAAATATGTTTAAAGACAAAAGTTATATTTTTCCTTCGTATTTTATAAGAATATATATAATTTAATTTTGTTGCTAATAATGGTTTGGTTGATAAGTACTCATCTGATTCTTAATATAGGATCTAATTGCAGAGTTGATTTTAGTCCTAAATATAATATATATTTCTTATATCTATAAATTTTTGTCAAATTACCCCTATTGACACTCCCTCAACCATAATCAAGTATGAGATGGAGGGAGGATATGATGAAAGTGATTAAAGTATTTTAAAAAAAACATGTCATATTTATTATACTTAACTAACTTACCTAACTTTCTTAATCTAATCAAATTAATTAAATAAGTCTTATATTAAGGACAAGAGGAGTATATATGTAACTCGTACAGTTGTTGCTAATTAAAAATATATTACCTTTTAAAATCGAGACAAACTCCTCCATATATTTATTTTGTAGGCTGTAAAATTATTTCTAAAATCATAGTTTAGTTTCCATCCAAACACCCCATGTGCTTCTTTTCATTTATCATATAGGGCTCTACTAAGAAAATGACTTGATTCAAAATATAAGTCATTTTGTATTTTTTGCTTTCATTTAGAACCTCATTTAATATGAATAAAGTTAAAAAAAAATATTTCAACTTAAGATAGATTTAAGGAGTATTAATTAATCTTTCTTAATTTTGAAAATTTTGTTAAAATGACTAATATTGTAAATTGGATGTACAAATTAAATCAAATACTTAGTGAACCTAACAAATACCGGCAATGCACGACAATTCTCGCCTCCTCCAAGTGCCCTGACCGAACTACTCATCGTCATCATCATTAAATAAATCTCATATCATCAATTCTCAAACACAAACATTAGTCCACGCACATGTTTTCTTTCACAACACGCACATTATATATTATACATGTATATAATATCAAACGAATCCGTGCGGGGCAAAAAGAAGAAACCAATCGAATCTGCATATAATAATATACTTATTCTTTACATAAAGTCCAGTTCACCCTAATGATAATTTTCTTTGAGAAATACTTACATACTTTTGGAATACCAAAATGTTCTGAGTGTCTTTTCTCGTGGATCTCATATCCCACAAATTTTCTTTATTATATTTTTCTCTCCATAATCCGCTAAGATGGGAATTCGTGAGATTCACCCCCAAAAAAAAAAAAAACAATTGGATTGTTTTGGTTAAAGAGAGCATGAATGATATAACACTCTAGCATGCAAGCAAATGTGAGATACTCCTCCGGTCCTTAATATAGGACCCAATTCTTGAGTTTGTTTTGATAATAAATATAAGATCCATTTCTCATATTTATCAATTTTATCTAAATTACCCCCATGGGTACTCCCTTAACCATAATTAAGTAGAAGAGGGAGATGGAATATTAAGAAAGATGATTATGGTGTTTTAGGAAAAATGTGTCACATTTCTTATAATTAACTAACTTATCTAACTTCCTTAATCTAATCAAATTAGTTAAATGATCATTATATTAAGTACCAGAGGAGTAATAGTTTACACATGCAAAACATATTAATTGGAGAAGATTAAGGTTCTATGCATGGTTTGGAAGTCTAAAAATTAAATAGCTAATTGAATGTAATTAAAATTAAATAGCTAATTGAATGTAATTTCTAAATATAAAATATATTAGTTGCAAAATTGTGGATTAGCTGCAGAAAATTGTAGTGTTATTTGACTTTTTATTCAGATAATTTCATTAATTCATGGATTTGGCCAAGAGAATTACATATTGGAAAGTTGAAACCTTGCTCAATCTTAAAATTGGAAAATTTTAATGAGATTGATTTTTATAATTCTTAATTGATATTCCATATTATAGAGACAATCAACTTTTGATATGATTGAGTTAATTGAAATTTTGTCAGTTATCTAAAATCAATGAGACCATTTTGCAATCTTGAAAATAAAACATGCCATGAATAGTGTGTACAAAAAGACAAGCAAACAAACACACCCAATGAATAAAATTGATATGGCAATAATAACAAATGTTTTATAAGAATAATCAGCATTTTTTTAGTTCAATAATAAGCAATTCTAATAAATAATAATACGTCTGAATTGTTGATTGTTTCAACCACAAACTTTTTTAAATTTTGTAATTGCAATCATTAGATACGCTTATAATTCTGGCTCAGCAAAGCTTTGCTGTATCTCTGGTACACCCGTGTGGGTGTCTCCCTAATTGTGCTTTGGTCGGTTGTCGTTACTAATTATCACAGCCAGCCTCATCATAAACATAATCATGCTTCTAATTAATGAAACCATTATGAAAAACCCAATCATTTGAGAATTTTTTTGTCCTTTTTCCATTTTTGTAAACATAAATTAATTAGGTCTTATCCTATGGCTTTTATTCTTTCGTGGATCGCAATCAGAGCTCACCATATATTCATAACTTATTTGTTTTGACAGATACTCTCTTAAATTTTATATATAAGACACTTCTATCCAGTCATTATCAAAATATGTAATTAAAAAAAAATTGTACCATTCAGGTTTTTATTACAAGTCACTGGTCGGACAAATTTTTGATCCTAAATATAAGTTATTTGTAGAGTATTTAATGATACTTTTTAATTTTATTCCTATATAATTCTTTTGGAAAGAGAGAAAGATATGAGAATAATTTATAAATTTAAAATTTTTTCTCAATTTAACGTGGTCTTCAGTATGTGAGAATAAGTTACAAAAAATTTATAATAAAAACGAAGTAATAATTTTAATTTGTATATGTAGTTAGAGTCACCTCAAATCTTGCTTAAACACAAGATTGTGTGTTCGATTTTCTATAAATGCATGAATTCTTTTCATCGGTGAAATATGATAAAATTTTCTACAGACGGAGTCTCACATTAAAAACCCTCATGAGAAAAGAAAGATTATAAGTTCAAAAAGCTCTCTCACTGAATATATGTTAGTGTTTTGAAATAGACTCTTTACTTTTACCCATGGCTAAAAAAAATCAGCATTTAATGATCCGTTTTACATGAAAAATTAAAAAAAAAAGTACTAATCAGACATGATCATGATTCGTGAAAATAATTTGACATGGTGAATCATATTTTTTTGGTTCAGCGACGTCTTTTCACAGTACATCAACCAAATAGGATAGTGATAACACATCAATATCAAATTTGTAGTGGGCTGAATAAATTCCACGAGCCAGAGATATTTTCAATATTAAATATGAATATTAATTACTATATGCTCAACCACGCAACCTAATTAATATTATTATATCAATTACATTATTTAATTTTTAAAATTTTGGTAACAATTATGTAAATACAATAATTATTTAAAATAAATCAAGATTAATCAGCTGATTTAATGCAAAATATCAATAATTTAGAAATTCGGTATTTACAACTGCATTCTAATTCATAACCTTTTTAACAATTAGTTTATTGGCCCTAGACATTTTGCAGGTCAATTATCATTATCAATGGATAAATTTGTCCCTGCCATAAAGCGACATACGGTTTCCCTCTTTTTCCACATGCAGCCCGTTTTTATTTGCCATCTCAATCAACAAATAATACTCTATTTTGAAACCAAAGGAGTATTTGGTAAAAAATCAACCTGCAAAATAAATATTTAATGTCTAATTTCTATCTCTGCTTTTCAGGATTTTAGCAATTATTCTCATTAAAAATAGTTTGAGATATAATTAATAATCATCAACCTTAATACAGTGAAAATATTCCTCGAAATTTTGAATATAAAATCTTGTGTTTCCAGAAATGCCACGTGTCGGAAGATGAACGGAATCTGAGGATCAGCCGTCGGATCTGACAGGAGCTGGGCCCACGCGGAGAAGCACTATATATAGCATATAGGGCGGGATTTGGAGACGCATGGTATATAAAGCCGGTGGGAAAGCGAAATTTGCAATCCTTGGTCCGCACGAAGCAAGAGGGAGAGAGAGAAGGAGTGTCTGGTTTGAGAATTTAGATATTCGCAGTTTGGTGGGAAAAGTGGGCGGAGAGGAATATCTGGATTCCACCTCTTTCGACGGTGGTTATGCTGCTTGCCGTTCAGGTTCTCCTTGCACCTTGATTGCCTTGTCAGTTTGTCGTCACTTTATCTTCCTTTTTTTTTTTTGGCTATTTCGTCACGGCGTTTCCGATTGGATCTAATTTAAGTTGTATGGTCTTTTTTTGGTTTCTGTGATCGATTATGTTTTAATCTGAATGATTGTTCCCCTGGAAAACCTGAAATCGTCGTTCGTCTGCTTATCGTTTATGAAGAACTTTGTTGAGTTCCACGGGTTGCAATTGAGAAGGGACTGTTGTTGGATTGTGCATGAAGGAATTTATTTGCCTGTCGTGGAGTTTCGTCGCGGTTGATTTTTCTTTTTTTCTTCTTTTCGTGATATTTAAGGGTCGAATTTGAGTCTTGTGCTTCTTAACGCATCTTTTCCTCACCGTTAGGGGTTTTCTCTCGGGGCATTGTTGGGCATTTATTTGCCATTATCTGTATTATTGCATTCATTCCTGAATTTTGCCCCTCTGATTGGCCGCGTGTTTGCTGGGCTGGATTGATCTAATCCAACACTTCTATGATCTCTCCTGGGTTGCCAATTTAGATTATTCAGCTTTTTAGCATGCGCTACAAGCGTTTGCTGCAGACAATTCAAAACATTGCATCTATATCCTCTGGATAAATACATTGTGCGCACACCCTTTCATTCTTCGTTGTCACTCTTAAATGTATGTCGCATTAATGCAACGATCTTATCATAATGTAATGAGCCCAAACTATTATTATGAATAATATGTTGTTTCCTTCTATTTCTGATGTACTTTTGGTATGGGAGTCGTGAACAAATGTTCTGAAAGGCTAATGGATGTCTTCTATTCTGCTGGTATCGGAACCAGTGATTATTTGACTGTCTAAGTCTGTTTCAGATGGTATATCTTCTGAAGTTTTTATGCTGGGGATTTTCATTTTTGGATTTTGGTTTATGTGGTATACTGATGGCGTACATTTCTTGACTAGCTAAGCTTGAATCTTTGCACTAAATTTCTGAGTTCATAGTTGTCAACATTGAATAGCAGTTAAAATGTCACTACCTAGGGTTATTTTTGATATATTTTGCTTGAAGACAATATTCTACATGCATGAGATGTTTAAATTTTAAGTTTAGGTTCTTCACTAAACTTTTCACGTTTTCCTTTTATACAGGGTGCCCTTAATTTGAATTTTGACGATCTTGTTCTCTCATTCAAGATATGGAGGCAGCTTGTTTCTGGCCAAATTGCTACAAGTATCGATTGCTTTCTTTCCAAGAAGTGCAGGATTGGCATAGCTTTGTCCTTGTAGATTTTCTTCTTGTTTCCTTTGTTAATTGCACCTAGGGTTCTGTTCCTCTTGGATGATCACCAATGGGTATGTAATGCTAGTTCCTTCTGAGACAGGTGCTCCATCTTTAGTGCACTTGTGCAAGTAAGCGCTTGTTCTTCCTCTTTTGCTAAACACAATATGAGAAATGTTTTTTAATAACTGTTCTCCTGACGCAGTGCATTGCTGACCCAAAATCCAGTTAAAACATCTTGTCAATCATCATCTGGGGTAAGAATGATTATGGGACACTTTTTATGTGAATGATAATAGTATATTTCGATGTACTAAATTTAATTAGACTTTTTTTTTCTTCCTTCTTTAGGGCTGAAGTTTACAGGTTGCTGACTGAATGTTGGATGCTTTCTCCATGTCAAGTATCGGATAGGCAATTACATTGAATCAGTGTGCCCTGTAATCATTAGTATTTAATTCATTTTCGCTCCTTATGGATATTGGTGTGAACTAAACATCAGCTACCTGAAGGCTCTGAAACAATTCCTATTAGTTTTGGTGAAGTAGCTATTACTGGAGTTTTGATGTCCTGGGTCAGTGACGCTATCTTGAGATCAATGCTGTTGCCTTGATAACTCATTTTGGTTGGACCTGGGAAGTGTTAATATGATCTATAGTATTTGTTCATCATTGCCACCCGCATCTTGCTACCCTTATGAAGCCATAGGTCTATTAATCAATAAGGCCGTGCAGCCCTTTCATCTGAAAGCTTGTGACTTTGAGCCTTCCCATGCTTTGACAGAATTGATGGTGGTTTTTGCTGGAACAGCACCTATCTGTTGATACTTCGTAGACTTTCTCGGCATTGTCTTCAAGAGATACATTCTATTATCTTGTGTGTTTTCTTACATCTTTTGAATAAAGAAAGCTGCTTTGCAGTTCTACGGAATAATGGAGAGGTAATTACCTGTTGTGGAAGTTGTTTGTTTTTCCTTGCTTCCTATTGACTTATTCGCATTTTCCCGCGGGGGGTTATCACAGGTACAGGTTAATCAAGGAGGTTGGTGATGGAACATTTGGGAGTGTCTGGAGAGCTATTAATAAGCAAACTGGTGAAGTTGTAAGTGTTGTTAGCATGTCAAAAATTGCTACATGCAAAGTCAGACGTTGTGTGGTTCTTGACAACTTATTTGCAATTACAGGTTGCAATCAAGAAAATGAAGAAGAAATATTACTCTTGGGAGGAGTGTATAAATCTGAGAGAGGTCAAGGTGATTAGATGGTCATCTTGTATAATTTATAGTTGCTCTGTCTTGTTATATGCTTGTAATTTTTCCTCTGTTGGTTATATTTTTCCATATACTTAAACATTGTATCTTGTTGCAGTCGTTGAGGAAAATGAACCACCCTAATATTGTGAAACTGAAGGAAGTTATTCGAGAATGTGACATTCTATACTTTGTTTTCGAGTACATGGTAGGTGCCAATTTATTATGGTATAATGACGAGCTGGTGTAAATTCTAATGCTAAACTAAGGTGCCGCTTTGGGAATGCAGGAATACAACCTGTACCAGCTCATGAAAGACAGGTCAAAGCTGTTTTCTGAAGGCCAAGTTAGAAATTGGTGTTTTCAAATTTTTCAGAGTCTTGCTTACATGCACCAGCATGGATATTTTCACCGCGACCTGAAGCCAGGTAATTTTGTGGGTGCGGTCTTGGAAAAGTACATCTTGATATAGAATGAGAGTTTGCCATGTGGTCCGACATGGAAATCATACAATGTTGGTGGCATTTCTTTCTCTTTATATTAAATGACTATCTGTTGTTATGAGAAGTTGATGATGAATTGATCAGCCACTTTGTCATGCACACGCAGACTAGGTGGCTAGTCTGCTGCATTTACGTCTGTTCTGCTGCTAGAGTTTTGCCAGTTTTATACAATAGACACTCTTCTTTGCAGAAAACTTGCTGGTTACCAAGGATGCTATTAAAGTTGCTGATTTTGGTCTAGCACGAGAGATCAGTTCACAACCACCCTATACTGAATATGTCTCCACACGGTGGTAGGCATCTTTATTTAATATAATTTAGTTTTGTAGCAACCATCTGCTCATAAGGGTTTTGATGGCTTCTATGATGACCTCTAACTAGGTATCGAGCTCCTGAAGTGCTGCTTCAGTCTTATCTCTATGGTCCTGAAGTTGGTAAGTATCTGATGTGCAATAATTTTGTTCTTTTTGGCCTTGACTGATATCACTTGCCATAGTGTCAAGGGACAGAATGAGTACTTTAAGGACGTTTTCTTTACTAATTTTGGTATTTTCCCCGTAGATATGTGGGCAATGGGTGCTATAATGGCTGAACTCTTCACTCTCCGCCCGCTTTTTCCTGGTGCCAGGTATTTAAACACCCCCCCCCCAAAAAAAAAAAAAGAGGGGAGGGGGGCTTGGATGTTTAAAATCCCCATTTTTGGGAAATAAGGTTTGGCTTTGCGTCTAATTTTCATATGATGCCGCCACATATTTTACGAGGGGATTTCTGGGAGTTGCAATCTGTATACTGAGTTTCTCATTTCTGTTGGAAATAAACATGTGTCTTCATGGCTGTGTATGCAGTGAAGCAGATGAGATCTACAAAATATGCAGTGTGATTGGCAGTCCCACCGTGGAGTCATGGGCTGGTGGTCTTAAACTTGCAAGGGATATCAACTATCAGTTTCCACAGGTTTGCTTCAATTTGGGTCTTGCAACCGTTGTTGGCAAACTTTTCGTGACTTCACTAATTCATGTGCCATTAATTACTTAATTATTTCTCTAATTATATCGTTAGTATGCTAGTGTAGTGTATTCTTAAGCTAATAAGTATCTTTCCACTAATTATTATTAGCATCTGCCTTCTGCACGAACCATTACAGCTTGCTGGTGTTCATCTTTCTGTTCTAATCCCCTCTGCAAGTGCTGATGCTATCGACCTTATGACAGTGAGTAGCTTACCTCTATCCCAAAGACATCTCAATTATGTCCACCTCCCACATGATGGGATGCTATGTATTTTTCCTCTTCCTCTCATGCAATATTGCAATCTATATAGGCACTTTGCTCATGGGATCCCAGCAAGAGGCCGACAGCTGCTGAGGCCCTTCAGCACCCATTCTTCCAGGTGATTCTTTTAACTAATTACATCGTGGATGTCATTTATGTCTTTATCCTCGCCTTATGCTTTTTCTGCTTGTGCTGGCAAATTTTAAACACTTCTTTTTTCCTTTGTAGAGTTGCTTTTATATTCCTCCTTCCCTCCGCACCAAAGCAATAGCCAGAACTCCTCCATCCGGTTGGTATCATCGTAATAGTAATCTTATTCGTAGTTAAGCGTTTGTTGATGTTTAAATCATAGGAATACTAATTGCTTGGTTATTACAGCTGGGGTGCGGGGATCGGGGGATCGCCATGGGGCTAAGAGATATTCAGGTGCTTTGTCTAATTCGAAGCTAACCAATAATTATCCTCCCACTAAATTGCAACCTCCTTTTGCTCCAGGTGACGGCCTGATTTAAGTTTTATTCCCTATATCACATTTGCTAAGAATCATCATAGTTATGTATTGAACGTGTGAACGTTCTCATTCAATGTTGAATGTTCTTACAGGTGTACAACGCAAACTGGATTTGACAAATGAGGTGAGTTATGCTGTTAATATGAGCTTGGACTATTAATTCTTTGTTGTGCTTGCTTCCTTGTACTGGTCTATTGCTATCTGTCAAGCTATGTATTTGCTGTGGATGGCTTTTGTCACACACATTATCAATTTAGGCTAGGTTTTTTTCCCCCTTTGCCAAAGCAATTCAGGCTAGGTTGCTATGTTATTATGGGGTGGTAGTGACTGGCATGCATCGCTGGAAATTAACCCCTGTTTGAATGGAGAGAAAATTAAGGAGTGGAGAAAATTAGGGAGGAAAACAAGAGGAGGAATGAGTTTTTCGTGAGAGGAAGGAAAAGCGGGAAAGAAAATAAGGTGGGCCCATGTCTAATCCTCTCTCCAAATTTTCTCTCCATATATGGAGATTTGGGGAGGAAAATGAGATTTCCGTGGCTGCCCTTTCTCTTGTGCTTTCTTGAGTTCTTCCTTTGCCTATTTATTTTCTTTTATTATATTTAAAAAATTGTTCACTTTTTCACCTTTTTGTAAATAATTTGGTTTTAAAATATAATAATCTAAAAATATATATTAACCAAATAACATGATTTTAAATTATTTAATGATGTTAGTGTTAGTATAATTTGATTTAATTTTAAATGATATGTTTTGATAAGGATATTTTAATCTTTTAAATATTTGTACATTTCCTTTTTTTCTTATGTTCTCTCCTCTATCCAAGCAAGAAGGATGATAACATTTTTTTTTTGGTTTTTACTTCTCTCTATTTTCTCTTCTCTCATTTTCTTGCCTCCCAACTTTTCTTCTCATCTAAACAGAGCATAAATGTTGATCTGTTCCTGAATCCTGCTAAATCCCGAAATAAAACGATTTTACTGGTTCTTATATATTGTTCTTCTGTGTATTGCTGACGAAATTCTTCTTGATTGTACCGAAGGATGGAAATAAAACTGATAAAGCCTTGAAGACTGTCAAACAACCAAAGTATAGGCCTCCCGGAAAGAACAGCCCAAGTAAGCCAGCATGTTAATAATATGCCCCTAATTATTTTGTTACTTTTTATGGCGTGGGAGATGCATGTTAGCTGTTTAGTGATATGGAAGTTAACGATGGGATTGCAGCATCGATGAACAAGGGAAGAACAGTACGTGGGGTTGCAGAGACAGCTGAGAAGTTGGCTAATATGAGTGTTGGAATCCGAAAACAATCTATGGGAGAAGCTCGACCTCCTCCTCCAATGAAAGCTGGAGTCCAGTGGGGTTCTGAATCTAAGAACTTGCTGCCGAGGCCTGCTCAAGTGGTTTCTACTGGAAGAACTTTTCCTAGGAAAGTTGCCGGATGAGAAAATACCAGCAAAATAAAGTTAATCTTCCTTCCATTGTTAAATATGGTCCTCCAGTATATGTTTGCTCTTACCCTTGAACCTTTTGGTTATCCGCTGGTTTTGCGTTTGAGTGTTTGTATCTCTTACGGGGTGGGAACTGTGCTGATTCGCTAGTTTGCTTGTTATTTTATATATATTTGGCGAGTTTTAATGAATAAAAGGGCGCTACGCTCTTTGCTTGTGTTCAGTTTCGGTTAATGCTAAGCGTGCAATGGAAGTTGTATCAAAACATATGAAATTTTAGTTGCAGACTTGCTCTGTCAGCTACTCTTGAATTTTACTTCTTGAATAATATGGTAGCGTTCTGTATTCTTCGTCGTCTTTTCTGTTATGCTTCTAATCTTCCCTTTCTATTTCAGAAAATGTCTTCAAAAAAAAAAATAGTAGTACTCTATTTTGTGTTAGATAGCAAATTTATAGAAATGGTGTATTTTAGATATGTAAAGGCAAAAATTGAGATCCGATGGACGAGAAGCGGATTCATACTAGCATCAAATTATAATTAGGAAGGTCAGTGCCTTATATGATGTCTATACCGCATAACAATATCTTCCTTAGGGAGGAGAAGGCACATTCCTTACGATCGCGGTGATGAATTCGTTGAATTCCTCTCAGTGCTATATCCTTCCTTCCTTCCCTTTAACATGGTCTCTAATCCATTGTTGTGATCACAGTACAAAATAATGACACTCTTTTGTCCTCAAGAAAGTGAGGAATTTGAGAAAATAAGAAAGAAGACAAAAACATTTAGAAACCAAAGTGAGGGTAAGGGTGACTTTTATAAATCCAAGTATCAGGCGTTATACGGTTATGAAATGCTAATATATAGATAATTACATGTATAATTAGATTTCGCAAACCAATAAATGGCCTCCTGTAATAATGTGTAAATGCTGGACTAAACATTTTGAAGGTATTGATAAGAGAAAACATGGGGGCGAAAGAGCTGCCCTTAAGAAGGAATGAGGAGTTGCATTAACGATTAAGATAAGCACTTGGCTTAGCATACAAAATAGCATGTCATTTTATAGTGATGTTACCATGTGTAACTCAAAAGTAAATACAGGGGATGTTGCAGCTGCCACGATACATTCCGCTTGAGAGGAAAAAAAAATAAATTTAATAAATTGTAACAATCAATGATGAAAAAGTAACTATCGTGACAAAATGATCACAACAGGGGGAAAAAAGAAAATGAGAAAGGAGTATAATGAAATAAGAGAGCTGCCCATCCCACCATGGTGAGTAGTTGTCACCCATATTGAGTCACCACAAAAAATGATCTGAACTCTCATATGAGTGTGACAGTTTTAATAAATGATGCAGCATGCACCAAACAAAAGAGAACAAAACTGAGAAGGCCATTGGATGGTCCAGTGCTTGCGCATTAAGCTTTTTTGGTGATGAAAATAGTGGGGAGGCCAGTCCTGTATCCACTCCAGAGTCTGGAGTTATGTCATTAGGAAACAAAATTGGGAATAATTCCAACTTCTTCAATCAAAGGTACTGTTCTTGTATTCTCTCCCTGTTCTCCTCCCACCATGTCTTTGCATTTACTTCTCCAAATCTTTCCCGACTGCCCACAAGTGAACAGAGTCAATCATCTATAAATAAGCTAGCCTAATTATGTTTTTTGTATTCTCACTTTCTGTCTTTCATTTCTGTTCTTTTTATGTTGTCAATGTTTTTAACAAAAATTTCGGGACAATTTTTAACAGACTATACCATGTACAGAAAGGTATCATAAATTTTTGTGAGGAAAAAAAGTCATTTTTGAAAGTCTAAAAAGTACTGATACACGTTTCTGAAGATATATAAATGAAGTAATAAGAGAAAAATTCCATGTAAAATCGAAGAACTAAAAATATATGTTGACCATTAAATACTCTCTTGGTTCAAATTACAAAATTTAATGACATGAATCTGGAAGAATGCACTCTAGAAGTTCATGATTTCGTCATGGTGAATAAATTCCTAGGACTATCATCTGTTAAGGTTAAAAAAAGGTCGGAACAACACATATGTAAGACAAGGATTGGTTTTCGTTACCTGAATCTGACACGTCGGAGCTCCCTGGTACCATCAGCTAATTGTCGGATTGTGATGTAGACCCCAGGCTCATCTTCCTCAATCCATTCTGCCTCCATGTCACCGGCATTACTGACAGAAGGTTCATTTACAGAATCAGTAGTTGGGCGGGGTGGTTCCATGGATGACCCTGCTTGGAACTGGTGGCCTACACCCTGATCAAAATGGTCAGAAGGGTAGTGTCCTCTAAATCCCGAGGGCCTATAGTGATGCCGTGGTGTCCACTCCTTGCTCTCTCGTGCAGATCCGAGTCTTGTATAAGAAGAATCTCTTGCCTGTTTCAAGAAGGATTCATATTGTTAGATTGATCTTTATCTTCACTAAATATGCAAAATGATGATGTAAGAAGGAGGAGATAATTTACCTCATCATCAGCCCTCGAGGGAGTTTGAAAAGCTTGTCGATTGAATCTTTGGACGTTATAGAGTTCCATGATCCGGTCGTAATTCTCACCCCACCATCTCTGAGCTTGCCATTTATTGAACATCTCTCGGCTTCAAATTCAAAGGCTAAGTATTGTCAGTCTGAGCGCCTACACCATAATTATGTCTTAACAACTAAAAATTTTGTTGGTTTTATGAGCTTTTAGTGTTCCCAATTCCAAGTTCTTCGTAGTTGACCAGGGAGTTAGGATACTCTATGTCAGCATATTCTTTGAAGCCACAATTAAGGATGTAATCTAATTGCTGAAATTATCTACATCTGGATAACATCCATCAAAGGCTTCTTCAACAAAGGACATTATAGCCTTATGGGAAACTCTGAACTTACCAAAAGCGCTTAATTAATATATTTGAACATACCTGAAGCGAATTCTTTTGAGATCATTCCCTCCATTAGGAAGAGACACAAATGTGATGTGAACACCAGGTTCCACCTGAGCCATCCACTCCTTGGGTTCGTCCTCCTCCTCTAAAACTACATCACATGATTGAACTGATACTGTTGAGTCGCGTGCAGCCCCACCAAATCTTGGGTCAGGTCTACCACCTGGATAACGGGAGCTTGTAAAGTCCCACGCAGGGGTTGAACTTGAACTAGCCCCTCCTCCAATGTAAGGATATGGAACCCCTTCAGATATAGTATCGAAGTCTGGAAAAGGCCTCTGCCCTTTCTTGTAGCTAGGGGACCCGGTGCAGGGTTTGCATTGCTTAATGAAAATATCTTTTAACTGTACATACACAAAAAAATCCACATTAACATCAATGTATTCAAAGCATTGTCATAAGAATAGAGCAAAATATTTACTTCGTTAGCAGAGAAACTTATTTCGATTATATCTGAGGTTGTGCAATAGTATGTATGTATGTGTGTATAACGTGTATTCCGCCATAAATGGGATATTTTGTAGCGTCTTTGGTCCTGCTGATAATGGTTATTATCATTAGTAGTTAGTTCTCAGTCAATATGAGAACATTACCGACGCACTGCAGAGGTGTTTACAGAATGCTTAATTCTTATCAGCATGCAAAGATGTTACAAATACCAGTGCACAATATATAAACTTGCCAATGACAAGCTTTACAGATGAGGGGAACAGGCCACATTGAAATATATTAGGGTGTGATAAACCAAAAAATGTGCGCGTGTGCGTGTGTTAGTGTACGAGGGCAATGGGTATTTTGGTCCCCACCCCTCTTACACACCCTCCCCCCCCCCCCCAAAAAAAAAAAACGAAAAGGGAAAGGAGGGCAATGGCTGGGAATTTCATTTTGAACAGTAGCACGAGTAACACATGACGTGTTTGGACCACAAAAGCTATTATTAAAAAGAATCACATAGAAATATACCATATATTTAGAAAATTTGTGGTCAATGTATCATTCAAAGGAGGATGATCAGATAGTGACTTATCAAAATCATCGCAAGATGATGCCCAGGTGCCTCAACATTTGAAATACCAAAAATTGTCTCAGATCAAACGCCACACATAAATTTTACCTAAGGCTTAGAAAAGTACCTTCAAATATCCATTTTTTACAGTTCATTCAGCTTTAACTATTTAACTTGATAGTATCACTATTCTAGTGGGGACCAAACACCTTTTTCTTCCTACCACATTGATATTCCAAGGCTTTCCAAACACCTGAGTGAGTGCCCTCTCCTTACCTTTTGACAACAGTGTAGATTCGCCTATAAATATTCTTTTCTTTTCTTTTCTTGTTATCTCGAAAATGATTCTCTCAATCAATGATATGTGTAGATCCAAGGCAAAAATTATAGAGAGTCGAGAAACGATTTTCCTTTTAATTTTCCAGAAAAGGAAATACTAATCATGCAATCAAACTAATCAAATCTTATAAGCATAAAGATGATCAGAATGAGCCCAAAGGAATGAATAAAGAACTGAGGCAAGATATGGGACAGCGGAAAGGAGTGGGAAAACCGTCTTGGAAGTTCTGAAAGATAAAAGTATGAATTTGAATAAAAATAGATGGACATTGGAGTCTAAGGTTTCAGGCTAACTGGCTCACACCATTTTCAAAGCATCACGCGACCCCTTTACAGCTAGAGTATGTACTTGTCTAGACGCTAATGGATGACATCATCCCATAACGTGAAGTCCATTAAAGGAGCCTCCTTTGAGTCTTCGACACCATGTACTCTGGTAAGAAAGCATTTTCTAAATGTTGAGCCCCTTAGTTCACGATAATTTATAGCCAATTTTTAGTTGTAAGACTAAGCTAATCATAAAAAGCTTCCTGGCAAAGTCCCTACTCCGACCATTTCAAGATAACTAACTGACAGATTGAAGACACAGATGAGAGATAATTATACAGCAATTATCAAATACAGCGACGGTTTTCAGAAATATATTGCCATATAGTGATTGTTTAAAATAGAATTCCCGTTACGCCGAGATAATTTTTGAGCCTTATAACTACCCAAGGGTGGCTTTCGCTAATGAAATTTTCTTTATTTTCTATTAACATATATTCGTAAGCTTTGGAAAACAAAGGGTCGACAAGAATTCAAGGATGGGCCACACCAAGGATACGCATTTGGCAGATTCTTCTATGCATTTCATCTTTTCTCTAAAACTCAATTGCTGGATATGAAACATGTTCCCACTACTATTCTTCTCCTTTAACATAGGAAAATTTGACCAAAAATCGAAATTTCTTTTGAAATGCAGACAAAGAGCAGAGAGTTGATTGAAAAAAAAAAAGAGGAAGAGAAAAAAGTTACGATCAGGGTAAATTTACTTCAACTTTATTAGCCTATTGTAAACGTGTTGTGGTCGGGAAGAAAAATTATCTGACACAAGTTATTTAGCCCTTTACTACCCCTCTTTCATTACCCCGTAATCGCCATGATTTCTTACTGAAAGGAGGAATAAGCCTCTGAAAAAGCTCATTGGGCCATGACAGCCATGACGGATTTTGTCGCGCCACATAATCTTGAACTTAATGAATAAATAAACCAAAATAAGGATGATCCCTTAACAACAAATGGGCCTAAGAATATTGCGTCATCATAAAAACTGACGGAATTTACTCCCCACCCAAACTTCCCCGGATATTTTTTGTGAAAAAAATCCAAAAAGGGGGATCAAAATTGCAAAACAAATAAGTAATGCTAATTTTTAATTTATATATCTTCCTAATTTCTTCTATTAAAAATAATTTTAAATTTATTTTAAGGATAAATTATATAGATGTCCGTCGATATAAAAGATTCTATTGTGGCCCCCGCCATATCAGGGCCCTAACGGGGTTATTGTGGTTTTGTTTGTTCTCAGAAAAAGGACCAAAAGCAAACATTGCAGCTGAAGAGAGGGGAGAGAGAGGGATTAAGAACCTGCGCCGTCAGGCCTTTGACGGCCTCTTTCGTACTGGGCGTGCCACTGTCACGTCCACCCTCTTCTTCTTCCCTGTCATCCGTCGTTTTCGTACATGCTATGCACGTAAACATCTTTACTCGCTATTCCCTTCTTGTCTCTGCCCAAAAATTAAATTCGGTGAATAAAAATTTTGAACTGTCTAGGAACTGCTCCACGTTCAACTTTTGGTTCAACAAAAAAAACTTTGAATACAATATTACTCATACAATGGTTCCGAAAGGGAATTGCAACAAGTTGTATATCGGAGAAAATTTGATTGGCGGACGAAGTCACTTTTTTTGAATAAAACAGTGACAGGCAATAGCGATAGTTAGGTTGCAAAAGAAAGCGCCGAAATAAAGAAAACCCAGCTACAACTAAGTTCGAATGAAAAGAAAAATACCATGGAGTTATAATATATTATATACGGCCAGGGGAAACAAAATAGTCCTAGCAAAAGTGGCAAAAGGAAAAGCAATATTCAACGAGGCTCGGGATCAGAGCAGAATGAAAGCAATCTCAAAAAACCCAAAAGAATGAATGGATATTGAAAACGGGTCTACTCAATAATTAAAAGTAGAAAGAAACAAAATGGGACAAGGGTTCTCCAAGTCGGTCTTCTTAGGGTGACCACGGATACTATGTGCCCGCTTTAGCCTGCACATATCGAAATCATGAACCAAAGCGTGTCCAAGCGGACCAAGCCGAAGTTTCTGACACACCATGCACTAGCCCAAAAACCCCAATAAAAAAAAAATACACACTAATTTTCACACTAATTAATCCCATCAATCCCCATTCTCCGAGATATCCAAGTGAGAGAGAAACCGGTACTCTCATTTCCACTATTATTAAAGAGTTGTGATATGACCAATGTTCTGTGCTTTTGGGGATTGAGAAAAACAAAATGGGTTAGGAAATCAAAGCATGTCGGGGGACGAAAGCAATATGAGACGAATAAAATAAGAACAAGGAACGTGGAATCCCAGTTTGGTATTTGTTTTCTAAAAGTAGAATTTAATAGTCATTGCCACTCCAAAATGACTTACCAAGCAAAACTAAACTGACTTTTTGTTCTCAGTATTCCAGAGACTTGAGGCACAGCCACACGCAGACGGACAACTCTTTGTTTCGGTATTGTGGCTTCATATATGCTTCAGCTTCATCATCTACACAGCAACTCGATTTTTCACATTCGTTTTGAAAAACGCCAGTAGAAAGAGCTCTGCTAATCGAAAATGAAAATTAAGGGGGGAAAAGAGTTAGTATAATACCTAGTACAGTTACATTAATGCGAAATCACACCATGGAATTTAAACGGTTAAGATCTGAAAGCAGTTGGATTTAAATGCTAAAACAAACACATGTAGGAGAAATACGGCTGACGACTAGCACTTTGTTTACCAAAACAGATTGATAACCTTACCTCCTAAGAATTTCTACTCGTAGAACCCAGCTCCGAATTCTCCAAACAATTGTGACTTTATCTTTGGCTTTTCAGCCCTCCATCTCCAAACAGAGCAGAATCGTGAAAATTTAACGCCTCCTTTGCGTAATGAGAACATTAACGGCCCAAATTCCTTGAACGCCACCGAGTAAATTGACACAAAGCGAAAATGCAATTTCCTTCGCGCACTAAATTTCAGCTGCGACCGAACCTTAAAAAAAAAAATTCAGGAAACAGAGGAATCCGTTCAGAAATCACCAGAGGCGATACAAAATCCAGCGGTGAATCCGCCAGGCAATATCTAGCTTGCAAAAACTGGAAAGAATCTGATACGGAATCGAGATTTAGTGGTAGGAAGAGAGCTCAGACATTTGAAAATAGCAGTCGAGAGGGAGAAATAGTTTGAGATCGTCTTATTTATACGGAGGAGGAAGAGGTTAACGACCTGTGACGTCGCCGTTATATGACGGAAAATGGTCTTGTCCGTGAGTGAGAAACCGTTAAGGAGCCCGAGGGAATTTATAGCGAACCGAGTGGCCTTTAGCAGATACGACAGTTGGGGGTCCACATGTCCTGACCAGGTGGCCACGTGGCGTATTATTATTGGCTTTGATGTTACCAGGAGTTGATGAGTGGGTCATTTTATATTCATGCTTATGTTCTTTTTCCTATTAAAATAGATGGATGATAAATAATTCATAACTGGTTGCCATAAATTTTAAATTAAAGCTTTTTTTTTTTGGTTGTTGTGTGGGGTGAGGGAAACAACATTACTATGTTAATTACTATGCTAGTTTTAATTTCATCAATTACAAACTTATAATTTACAAACTCAGATTGCATAAAGAATTATGTATATCCTTCAGATAATTAAGTACAAAAAAGAGTTTATATAATAATTCCCGTTGCTGATTATATATATGCATAAAGAGTTTATGGTTTTCAATGTAAAGTGATGTTTTGTAACCTATTTAAATTTAAAAGTATTTACACCTAATGACTAATACATTGTTGACAACTAGACAAGACATCAATACATTAACAATACATTAACTAACTTGTCTTTAAAAAAAATACTCCATCAGTTCTTATTATAAGTTTCAAATAATTAATTTATGGGTAACGAGTTGTTAGTTAAAATTAATTAAAAATAATAAATGGGGTAGAAATACAATTTTGTTTTCAAATATGTCCTTATAATAAATGAGAAAAAGAGTGTGTGAAAAAATATAATAAAAGAAAATATGATCAAGGAGAGAGAATAAATAATTAAGGGTAAAATAAAAATATATATTAAATATTAAGATAAATCCTAACCTGAAGCTTATAAAATAGATCACACCCTTCTTAAATTTGAAACTTATAAATATAATGGGGGGAGTATTACAATTGAGATTATTGTAATGTGACGTATTGATATTTTACGAAGACTTCTTATATGATCGTCTCTTTAATTTGAACCAAACAAGTTTATTGTTATCATTAATTATTACTCCTCCGGTCTTTAATATATGACCTAATTCTTGAGTTAGTTTTGATCCTAAATATAAGACTTGTTTCTCATATTTATAAATTTTCTCTAAATTATCCCTATGGATACTCCCTCAACCATAATCAAGTAGAAAAGGAGAGGAGGTATTAAGAAAAATAATTATGGTGTTTTAGGAAAAATGTGTCACTTTTCTTATAATTAACTAACTTACCTAACTTCCTTAATCTAATCAAATTAGTTAAATAAGTATTATATTAAAGACCGGAGGAGTATTTATTTTCTGATGTACCAAAATAAAAAATTAATCATCATCATCATTAGCATTTCATTTGCATATGTTTGAGGATGAACAAACTCTATATGACTGGATCAAGTACATGAGGCAAAATATAAATGATTATTGTGATGAATATACAATGTACTCTTGTCGAGTCCATTTATAAGAATTAAATGATGATAGTTGGTTAAAATCACTAAATTATTCATACATTATTGAATAGAAATAAGGAATGTTTATCTTTGATAATTCTATCATCATTGGATCATTATTTTCAAATACTTACTTCATTTATTTGTTATAAATTAAAGGAATTAACAAAGCATTTCCTTGTTTAACTTGCTACTTATTACAAATGGATTGATGGAGATCTAAACAAACATGCATGAACCTCTGCTACATAAAATAATGAGGATGGATCAAGAGAGAAAAGAAGAACAAGACATTGCTTAAATGTTAAGCTTTTTATTATTACCTCTTTTAGAATTGAGACAAAGTTTGCATGCACAAGAAGCTACCCCGTGCATGCATGCTAGCTTCCTTAACCTATAGATACCTATGTGCCTAAACCTACCTACCTACCTACCTACATATAAAGAAAATATATAACAAAGCTTACCTTAACCTTCCTGGCTGTGATCGATCTCACATTTATTCTAAACCCCATCACTTACATAAGCTTTTTGGCGATCCTTTTCATAAAAGTTTTCTATTTGTCTTCTTCATTGTCATCTTCTGCTACTTTCTTTACCATTATTCCTTCCATCCACCACATGCTTAAACCTTATTCGTCTCTGATGAAATCCCCCCGTTATATTCTTCACTTACATAAGCTTTGTGGATTCCAACTTATTAGTTTCCAAAAAGCTTCAATGATTATATAATAGTGTTAGTTCTGTTTGATCCCTTGCGAGTGAAGTACTATGAGGATTTTTGGCCCTTATTGACTGAATCAAACGTCACAAGATCTTCCAACTTGTGAAAAAGAACGTATATTTCTCTTGTACTATAACTATCGAAAAGGTTTAATTATATTCCTACGAAACAAAAAACTAAAGTCCCACCACATGGTCGATCTCTTTAAGAATGTATCTAATTCTCTGCTAGTTCTGTTCTGGTGTACAGTGTTTTTCTATGGCCAAGTGCAACCCAAAAAAGTGCATAACACTATTTCCTTAAGAGTGTGAAAATCAAATTAATTAAATAGGTTAAAAAGTTAGAAATCATTCTTTTCATGTCGATGCGAAACGTTGTAAAGGTTGCAGACTGGTTCCGTTGGATCTTTCCAACTGATATGAAAACAACGGTATTAAATATATACACGTTAAGTTAATCTGACACAGATTGTGATAAAACTTGCATGCACACACACACATATATATATGTATATAGAGAGTTTCGTTACTTTTAATATACAATCAAAGTATGTTTGAAAAAAAGAACTGGTTTATACATGATTTTGCAGAAAACAATGGTGAATTGGCATGCATGGTGGGCAAGTGATGTGCTTTAACTTTAACCCACTGCAATTTTTGTCCATGGCTTTATTCCTGGGGCTAACCTCTCTTTAAGCAAAGAATTGTTGAAGTAGAGGGACACCAAATTAAACCGTCCAAATAATATATAATAACATACTGCAATATTTCTTTCCCTCTCTCTCTCTCTCACTCTTAAGACTGCGCAATCTTTCTTTAGGGTTTTCTATCTCTCTCT